TCGGTCAATATGACAATTGAATTCTTAAAAATTTATTTTACAATTTTAATAAAAAAGAGTAGTAAAAACTCAGTATTAAATAGCACATAAACACAAAAAAGAATAAAAGAAACAATATTCATAAAATTTGTATTTTTTTTGAATTAAAATTAATAGATATTACAATTATTGTATAATAAACAATTATGCTCAACATGATCAACATGGTAATATAACCAGTGTCATATTTTTACTAACTTAAAGTGTGAACAGATACCTCTAATAGCGATAACATGTACATAATAAGGGACAAATGTGTGGTACGTGTTGATCATGCGTTACACATATGGATTATAAATGATTGCATACATGTATATCCGTTGCTATTAATAACCACGATCATAAAGAATATAACAAGTAATATTCTAATCTCTAGCATGCCAATCAAAGTTCATAATGAACAATGTCTTTCGTCCGCTCATTCATAAGTGGTATACATTTCTGGTAGTTTATAAGAATATCTTGTCATCATATGTGTACTAGTTCATCTTCACTTGCTGCATTTCTTGCTTGGACGCCCTTTGATGCTTTGCATCAATGCTTTTCTTGTTTGTTTTTGGGATGGAGTTGGGGTTACGTCACACAAAACTATGAAGGTCATTTTAGCGACTCTTCAGTTTTACTGGTGGAGTAAGAACTCAGATGCCCCCTTTGCAAAATTGTTTCTGGCACAAACGGGCATCTGTGTATGTAATGAGTGACGTTTCGTAGGCTATCTTGATAGGATCGTACATACACGTTCCACACACAATTTACATCATGTTATACCATAGGCAAAATTAAATGCACCGTTCCCTGTTTGTAAACAATATGAAAACCCCAGAAAAAACCTATGACACCAGCTTCTGAATATGGCATTTCTATCATCATATTCCACAAAAAGCACCCCCCCCCCCTCCCCCAAAAAAAAAGAAGAAAAAAAAAAAGAATGAGTACATCAAAGTGTTGGGAAACTATTACCTGCACTCCAGTTTCGCACTGTGCATGTATATGAATTCGATTTAACTCTGACACGTTTTCAACAGAAAAGTCTTCAAACTATGATACAATAAATGTTTATGATTCTATTAGAAAACTTGTTTAAGAATTTTTATGATTTTTCGGTTGAAACGATATAGTTTACTTGTACTACAGATAAGATCAAAGTGCTGAAGGCACTGAAGAAAAAACACATTTTCACTACAACTTCACAGGTAAATTAATTTTATATGTCGCGGTTTACATCTTAATATCAGGTAACCTTTTCTTTTTGAGACTTTTGTTTTTGAAAATAATCTAAACGAGTAAAATAAACCCTCTTTTATGGGCAAATAATTTAATAAGTAGCATCCCCGATTTCTCTTTCATAAATTGGCTTTAGCAAATTCTTTTCTATTCAATATTAAGAACATTCTGTCAGTGACGTGTCTTCTACTTGAAATCTTCCTGGTGTGTATTTTTCGGTAACAGGAAGAAAATAATGACAATCTGTTCGTATTCTTTCGGTAACAGAAAAGAAGAACATGACAGTCTGTTCATTTGATCATGACTGTGAAAAATCATGTTTTCTGAACCAATTTATCCTGCCGATAAATATTTTGCAAGCAATCTGGTGGTTTATGTTCTAGTGCTTACATTTAGTATTTAATTCCAAAAAGAACATTTCTTAGAAGACCTTTAACGTTTGATTACGGGTTTATAATCACTATAACCGAAATACGTAGGCCTGTTACTGTGAAATTTTCGTTCAAGTGTTTAAAATACTTCCTCAGTAAGCTCTATAAATTTTTTAAAACGATATTCCAGTATTTCCGAAACAAATTTACAAAGGCTTTTAATACGCAATCTTATAAATCTTAAAGTATTACGAGAACCACCCACCTAATCTCCAGAACATACATACGAAAAACAAGATAAATCAAAAGGCTGTAAGCTCTGTGGTATTTTCTGATCTTTGTAATCTAAATCGCACTGTATAAACTGTATTATTTTCCTGTATAAGTTTATTTTTTATGTACTATAATTCTTCTTGCTTGGTACCAGAATTTGATACATATGGAATTTTGCATGACTAGAGTTGCATCAAAAAAAATCATTTATGTTCATTTTTATGACAGCCACACTTTATCCTTGCATATCGTGGCTGTATCCATAACAAAGAAATTTAGATTTTCCATTGCATTTTCGGGTTAATTTCGAGGTTTTTTGTTCAAGATAAACCTGTTGTTTAACATTGATGTAAATAATTAAACAAAAATCTATTCGCCAAAACAGTCCGACTGTATATATATCCACTACTAGACAGTCAGATTTATTGTGAAATACGCTCTCGACATCGCTTAAAATAGCATTTTCATTGATTAAAATGATATTCATCCGAATGTGCATTCATTGACAATTCTATAACCCAAGCTACTTTTTAAACTTTGAATGCGTTGTAATTTGTTGGATACTTATAACAAAATGAAAATATTTCTTTCTTTTAAATCGCTAGTTTTCAGATGTTTTAAAAACTGCTTGTTGTTTTAGTTTTGTCGTGAAACCGCTGTGTCAGAGATTGAATGTTAGCTTTGTATTTCCTGATCTTCGATCAGAAATACAAAAAAGGAATGGTAACATTCAATGAATGCAACACCCACACGACCAAGCAACACAGGACCACGGCTAAAGTATCAATGAAAAATTTAATTTCAGGCTTTCAAGTGGTAAATAAAAAGACTAAACAAAAAAAAAATGAAAAACAGGAAGAAAGAAGAGACAAAAGTAGAGAAGAGTAAAGGTTTTAGTGCTATAAAGCAAGAAAAGCATGGTTCTCTTCCTAACTAATTTATGCAATGAAATGCATCCGATCAATATTTTAGCCGTTGCAGTTTTTTGAAAACCAGTCACGAGTATGCTATGATAAACAGGCTATAAGGAGTAAAAACACTGGTTAAGATATGCATTGCGCTTTCCCAAGTTTGTATACCGTCTAGGAGTTGGAAGTTTTGTTTCCAGAATTTTATAAAATATAGTTTCAGCAATGGTTGTTGTATGAGGTGAGGTTAATAATATCTTACTGAATTCTTAATGTTACTTTTACTTACCTGCCCTTTACATTTGTCTTGCAAGTATCATGATTTTGTTTGTTTCGTTAAATTTGAAAGAGGGTTTAAAGAAGAACAGCTACATGTATATAATCAGTTTTAAGTTTATTTCACTAGTCCCGACAATAACCCTGCTGTGGAAGCTTGACTGTGTCGGGGGCTGCGTCCTGTGAACGTTGCCGTCACCTTGATTGTCTTTATTCCAGTTTTCCTTTTTTTTACTCTTATAACGCTCTCAATTTCTTTTCCACCGAGAAGCTTCAATATATTGTTAACATTAAAGCACAGCTCAATTGACCCATCACTAGTACGGATGCCTTCCAATAAGAAAGAAATTTATCAGGATATCTGCTAAATCAATAATGATAATAATAATAATAATAGAGCCAGATTTTAACTCTTTTCCGACCTTCTTGATAATGTTTACCATGTGCATGAAACAGGTATCAATTACCTATAGTTTTTGAATGTCTAGATCAAAACGTTAGTAATTTTCTCTATCAACAAAGTTTACATCCAATGCGGATAAATATGCAAGTATGTATGTAAAAATGATAAATATTAAATTTCAGATCTATCTAGCAAAGGAGATCGATTTTTTTTCTTATAGAATTTTAATTATATGCACTAGACATACATAAGAATTATTAACTAATAAAGTTGAAGCCTTAATGTCCCTATAATGAGGCCGGATTCATTCTCTATTTAGCCAGTGCTTTCAGTGCTTTGATCAGAGTTAAAGAGAAATATCTAGAATAACATTCTGTGTGTGCGTGTGATTTTTTATGCTTACAATACTCAAGTTCATGTTCGTTGTATAAAAAGGTATTACGAAGTTTTTTTTCCTGAACGGGTGTCAGATAAACCAAAGTGACCTTTGAAATAGGACCCATTACACTGATGGACAAAGTAAATTTTCTTAGCCTAGATATCATGATATTTTAACCATTACAAAGTTAATACATACTATTTAATAATTACATGAAAGCTCTCAAATTAACATAGAATATTTGTAAAATTTGTGTATGTCAGTTTTCAACTCCGTACGTTTAGCTAAATTCATCATTGTAATGGAGAAAAAAAACATGATTACAACAATGTAATGCTTTAAATATATTGAAATTGCTTTTGAAAGATTTTTTCTCACAAGAACATATGTGAAAACAACAAGAAATTTAACAAAACAAATCCATAATTTGCTTTTAAATTTATGGATTGTTGGTATATTCCACTTTCGCACTTTCGTTGCTGCCGATACACAAAAAATTCTCCGTTTCGCTTTTTAGTCATCCCGAGAATCATCACGTGACCGTTGTTTTTATTCAGATTTGCAAACTGAAAGGTGTTTAAACGCTTTTCCCACAAAATTGGAGAAAATATGTATTTTCAACGTACTTGCCAATCCAAAGAACACATATTAATGTATCACTGATTCTGTTTGAATGCCCCTAACACGCAGGTAACAAAAAATTATCGGTTCGTGAAATTTTACTTTTTTTTGTGACATTCGGCCGTACCTCAGTGGAGTACCTTTAATGATCCTGGTAATTTTTATGATGAAAGAAAATGGACATAAAAATCAGGGTACTAGTAGGTTAGCGGCAAGTGAAATTTCGGTTATTTCTAATGAAATTTCTTACAATTTGTAAAAAGTAATTTTGTGGGGAAAAATAGTTTAGACCTTTAGAATAAGGACTAGCATATTTTCATTAATATCTGCTATTCTGACAATGGTATATTTTGATAAATCGATAAAATCCGTATTTGTTTTTAAAAATCACAATTTGATTCATGTAAGTCATGATATTTACTAGGCTCAGTATAAAATATCTCAGATATAAGTTATATTTGTTATACTGTTACAAAGCACAGCTAGGACAAGTCATATACGTCATTTCATCCACGGAAAATTACATGTCCTTTGACACCATGATAAAATTTTCCAGATTCTGCATCCCCTCGGAGTTTTTCTAGGACAGGCATCATTCCTTTAACAGATTCTTCTGTAGAAATAAGAGCGTTTGGTCCTCCTAAATCAGTCTTCACCCAGCCCGGATGTATGGCTGTACATAAAATACCATCAGATTTCAGATCCAGGCTAAGGTTTGATGTGATCATATTCAGGGCAGCCTGTGTAAAGAATAAGTTCATCGAATCACCATGCAATGTAAATCACTAGTATAAGTGTAGCTATTCTTTATTCTACATTATTTTTGGGGAAATGGGGAGGCGGGTTACATTAATAGGTCATACAGGGACTTTTCAAATTTACTGGTCAAGGAAGACCTCATATGCCCTTCCGTGCATTATTTCAGGCACCTGAGTAGAACCACCAACCCGTAAGCTAACTTGATAGCTTCCTCACATGAAAAAATCCAAATCCCACGTCTGTGTGGGGAAGTGCTTTGAAGACAATCTTAATCAATTGGCCACGGACGCCCCTTTTAATTCCAAATAACTGGTGTCGCAGTGGTGAGTTAAATCTTCAATCGTCTATGTAAAGCAGCATAAAAAACAGATAAGTGTTACAATTACAAATTTGGACAATGTGTTTGCATGGTTCTGATACAAAACATATAAACAAGATAAGTATGGTCTGGTCACATGGTAACTAATTAGGTTGCTATACAGTAAACTTGTAAAAAGTTAATGGTATAAAGTAATGCACCTTTGACGCTCTGTATGGGTATATTCCACCTGATGAATTTTCAGTGATAGAAGCTACACCAGTTGATATATTGATGATAGCAGCTTTACTACATGACATTGGTTCTGACGATTGTTGACCAGCTGCTTGTCGTAACAGTGGTAAAAATGTCTGAAAATAATCAGCTTAGTATATACAAGCAAGTATTATGTCAATTACGAAATGGTTTTTAACTTTCTTGTTTTCTTGATCATCGTGTGAAACCGGATGAAACTCTAGTTTTACCTCAAATGGCCGAAAACGTTTCTTGATTTAACAGAAGCCTTTAGACAAAACTAGTTATTTTAAGACTTGAATTATTTGGTACAGCATAAACATTACCCTATGAACAATAGCGAAGGATATGACATTTTTTTCTTGACCTTAGTCTTATAAATATGACGTTGCTTTGAGATATTTTTACTTCTTGGTTTGACCATCTTAAACTATAACAAACCCCGTGCGTCTAGACTTTAGCCATCGTTCATAGATCATACACTAATCCTGTCTCACATCTACATGTGCACTGTTGACAGACTTACTACTGTGTGTTAATGTCATCTTTAAAATGTAGAAACGGAAACACTGTATCACAGCAAACCATTACAATTCAAAATGTGTGCGTTATTGCAATATAATAATAATATACTTATTGTTAGCTTTATCATATCAAAAACTATACACTGAGTCCTAACTCATAAAGACCTATATAGGCTTAACTTCTAACACTTTGAGCATATGGTCACATCTCCATACGTTGTGAGTATTTATTTAGAACAACCTGATCTTGGTCTCAAGGTAATGAAATTATTAATACCGTGTGAGGCAGCCGAAACTACTGACACGAACGTCTCAGACTATGGTTTCTCTATTATGTCTCACATGTTTAGTAGATACATCACAAGAATATCGGGGGGAGAGGGGCGATGCGGGGAAAAACAATTAAAAGTTTTGGTTATAGGAGTAAAATATTAAAGAATTTAAAAGATTATGTCATAATATCAACCTCGAAATACTAAGGAGAATATAGGGGCCGCCAATGTCGTTTTGTCCGAGATATAAAACAATGACCCTTGATCTCATTCGACTTCAGACGGCACTTATAGATAGTTCCTTCTTACGAAAAATAATTAGTGTATGATAATAGGTCGTTAGCTGAAGGTTAATGAAAAGCGGTTAAGTGTGACGGAAGGAGTGATGGACAGACCTGTTCATTTTTTGGTCCTTCAAAATGCAACCGGTATAACTACATAAGAACGTTTCAAATTAAAATTTAAAGTACTATATAACAAATAAATTCAGACATGTATACATGTATTTCGATTACGCTAAATACTAGTTATAATAAGAGAATAAAGAAATGTTATAGTTTTGATACACAAGATTAATGTACAAGACATTAATACATGTATGTATATACATATCAAGTATGTAGATCTATTTAGAACTTCATAAATTGTTGGAACAACATACTGGTCAAGTGCTGATAATGAACAAAGCTTGCCCAACCCTATTTACCCTGACAATCTAAACCTTTGTCATGCTATCAATCAATTATAGTTATGTTACATCGAAAAATATCTCTACATGAACCATACTTAATTAGCTATTTTTATTGATCGTAAGGTATCTGGGGCGGTAACAAGTAAATATTCATAGAGTAAGAAAATCTCAATTCGGCAGGGCTTCATTGTCTTACCATTTCATTTCTAAGACTATACCAAATAAGTTCAAAATAGCTCACCTAATTCAATCACAAGCACCGATGGATTTGACTTGCAAATACTTTATTTAATATGTCCTGGACAAAAGGACGCGCCAAACGGAAATGCATCTAATTATATATAGACTCTCTAGCTCTGTACATAACAGTTCGGTGATTCATTTCTTTCTGCATTAGTACTTCTTTATTAACATTTATTAACTCACTGATGATTGTTTTAAATAATTAACCAGGACATTTTATAAAGATCTAGATAAAAAAAAAAGAGGTGCTGTGGTAAAATAATAAATGCCCTCCTTTAATTAAAGAGTTTTCAGAAGACGACTACATAAATTAACTTACGTAAAATTTGTACGATTTAATTAATAGATGAATATCAATTTCTAGACGTGCATAAGCTTGTTGTATATTAAAATTGTCAAGTACATGTAAAGTGGTATGATTCATGCTGCATCCAAATATATGCTGAAAATACTAAGAATAAACTAGAAAATACTGTAAAGTTTTTAATATTAAGAACAAAAAGCTTACTAGATAATTCTATGGCTTGAAGAGTCGCTCAGAATATATGATTATAATCGTTTTCAACTTACTGTTCGCTGCGAAGGATCCTACAAATGCAAATAGAAAATTTTGGCGGCTCGTCAGTTGACAACTGTCATTCGACAATAATCTACAGTCACAGATGACACGTGAGGGTTTCAGTGATTTAAAACAAGATGGTGAAGCATTTTAACTGATATAAACCAACGATGCAGATGCGATACCAATGATTTACCTTCCACCATACAATGACTTTTCATTAACGCAGTGTATGTCATCTATTAAACCACACCATGTATAACGGAAATCGTCGTCGACTATAGTTACCTTATACACGAATCATATTACACAGATCAACTACGTCTGCTATAGTAATACTATTCTTTATTGCTGCACCAGTAATATCAAATTAGTGACTTTGCATTATTTTTATCTACGTATTGGACAAACTAATTACAGAAAATGCTTGTAGAGGAAGGCCATAACATTTACGAGTTCTATTATCATGTTTATTTACAAAATGTACCAGAGCACGTCAATTTCCGATGAATATTAAAATATTGGCAAGCACTTTCCGCCGTATGTTAACTTGAACAGGCCCTCGTATAAGCACATTCTTCTTATCACGCATTGAACATCAAGTTGACTTCAACACCTTTATTGTTAATAGAAGCAGGCACCGAAACACGAGGCTATTGATTTGTAGAGGGGGCGTAGCCCCCCGAGTAAACATCCAGATTCGGCAGTGTTTTTGGTGTTCTTTTCTCTTTTGTATCATAGTCAAAAAGCATGACAGCGCGTTATCGCCACCATGAGATGTGTCGCACCATATATAGAAAACCCAGAAAAATAGATTATAAGACATGATCGGCATTTGAATATTGAATTTCTGCCCCTTTCAGTCTTTGTCTGGTCGTCACAGGATGTAACCCTCCTAGCAAAAATGAACAATTCAACGGGCATTATCTGGAGTGCGGGTAACTAACTAATACCCGCACTCCAGTTACCGCACTGTGCATGTATATGTATATGTATACGATTTAACGTTCCCCAAACTATGATACAAATAAAATATAACCAATTAACTTCCAGCGTTCGCAATGAGTAATGTTCAAAAAGATTTCATTATCAAAAAAAGAAGCCTCATTTTGATTTTCAGACTCAAACAATCAATAACTGATTCACGTTGTGCTCCACCTTGACTAGTTTTCATTTTGCGATGCCAAAAGTCCATGTCAAATCAACATTATTGCTCCGCCCAAAAATACCCATATCAAATTAGATACCTCTATTTTTATCTCGTGTATTTATCCCTCATATATTTTCTTTCAAAAGAGTATTGTGGTGGTGTGAGAGCTTCGTCCAATATTGGTTTGACAACTGTGACAGCTCGTCCCAAAGAATTCAATATTGTATTCATAATTCTCAAAACATTATATCAACTTTTGTATCAAAGAAATTAAAGGCAAGTTTTTACAATGTACATGCATATCTGTAATGCAGGAATGTGAAAATAACGCCGGAATTACGCAAGAGTTGACTGAACCTGTGCAGTGTATGTCGAACGAACAAGACAGTGAAAAAACAGACCAATTCTTCATATCTTTAGTTTATCAAATTGACAGATATAAATAAGTGCATAGAACTGAAACGACATTTACATTCTAAACTTCATTCAGATTTTTTTTAAATGTTTGTTTTCCAACAACCTGTTCTTGTTTAATAACTAAAATATTGATCAATATCCTCTATATAAGCGAATATTGATTAAATCAACTGGAACGTCGTGAAACGCACAGTCATCCTAGATGAAGCCTCTAAACGACCTTCATTTGTTATAATGTGAGAACAATTATAATCTACAGCCAGCATATATTTCTCATTTATGCTCTCCAGATACAAGGCTTGGGAGCCAGCAATCTCGCTTCCCCGTTGATTCATAGCAATATGACCAGCGCTCGAATCCATGACCCTTGAATACCGTTCTGCAGCTCTATCTCAGTAAGTCTTTTTCATGTGTGTTTCAGTTCTGGTTCTATGATTCTAAATCTAAAGGTTAACAAACAGAATAGAATATTGTATAAAATAAACAGATCCGATGGACAAAATGGTTATTAAACTTATTTATCTTTAAAGTTGTCAGATTGCCTATTAATGGACAGAAGGTGAGCTTGGCAGAACATGTAACACGTTATTTGTGATGCTCTCTTTATTCATTTCTTTATCGAACGTGAATACGAAATACTAGAGGTGTCCTTTTTGTAATAACACAATAGTAGACACTGACCAATCTTTTTTCGGCTCAACCATTAAGCCGTGTTCATCTTTTTTCATTGTCATATACAGTAACTCCCAATAATACGCTCAACTCACTATTACACAGTAATACTAGCTGATGAATGCCTAGTCAGAATTGTTAGAATGTCTTAAAACTATGAAGGTATTGGGTTATTCACTGGTATATTACGTTTGAGGAAAGGAGATGAAAGTTTTCTTCTACACATCATTCTCCGTCTTTAAAAGACATTATTTCATTTTGCCAAACTGTTCTGTTCTTTGGAAAATATCAGAAACCATGTAGTCATTTGTCTAGGGAGGAGTCTTGTCATCGAAGATTAGAGCCAGAAAATATAAAAGCGCGTTGTGAAGTATACGCTCTTCGACTCCTGACCCACAACTCGCTCCTTTCTTTTTATCGTGTTCTCTGTGTGACAATTGGCTATTGGCATCACATGTTTGCGTACCCTTATTTGATTCAATTTATTTGTCTGTACATATTGGTGTTTTATACTTTTCAGGGAACAGGTTATCAACCATACGGAATACAAACTTGTTAACAAACAAACACAATAAAATGTATAGCTAACATTTAATGTTCAAATACGATAATAAAACATTTAATAAAACATGAAATAGTAAGATCTTCTTTAATATGAATTACACACATTCAGAAAATATGACTCAATGATTAAATGAACAACATGTATACAAGAAACCATGAATATATATATATATATAATAATAATAGTTAAAGAAGATAAAATTTTTTACACGGAAATGAGTTCACAACAGACACGGGTTGTACATAAAATTAATTGCCATTTTAAACTTCTACTGGTCTAAAACTATGGTATAAATTTCATTTATAAGTTTTCAAAGTTCTTCAAATATACATGTTTTAATTAAGAAAATTCAAACTTTCAGCAATCACCTTCGTTAAACAGGTTTACTTATCCCTCAATATTATTTCTAACAAAAATGTATGCAAGTTCAATTCTTCTGCTTACAATATATCAGGTTTGTAAAAATAAAAGCTTGCTCAAATTCGCAAAGTAGAGCACATTTCCAATGTACTAAATATTTACAGACACCCCAACCCAAGTCTACATGATCGAAAAATGATTGAATAGAAATTCACCGTAATCCAAGCAATGTTAACATGGCCAACATTTCTATGAACTAGTTATGATTTTCCATTTTACTCAGTGAAAAATAAATACATGAACATTTAAGAAGGTAAAAGGATAATCTGAAGGACAGCCTACACCGTGCACTCTCAAGTTGCTAGTGGTGGCACCTTTTGTCCCCCCCCGGCCCCATTACATCAGTTAATCTGCAGGAGTTACTGGACTGGGCATTTTATTAAACACATCTTCTATCGCGGAAATAATAACCAATCTATTATGCAATCATCTGTATAATGTTCATAGTATAGATCATATAATGCACTATGCATAGACATATAAATTAGTTTTAAGAACATAGACCTTCTCAATAATATATCTTTCACTGTTCCATTAAAATTCATCCAACAATAGTTATGGGGTTTGTGGAAGATATCTTCTTTCAGCACTAAATTTGTTTGAACACATATTTATTGTTTACACAAAACAATTATTCACGTTTTCCTTCAAAGAAAAAAGTTTGTATTCCTCATCTAACATTAAGTAAAGCTGTACGATCATCTTCCTCGTATTGGTGTGGGTCCTCGTACTGTGTCAGATCCAATGTTAATACATTACTGATTACACAATCCCCTTGCTGCAAAAAAAGGTAAAATAAACAGATTAATAAATTAGTTAAACAAGCTGATAAGTCTTAAAAATCAGCAAAAATTTGAGCAAATGATTTGCAAAAATAATACCAGTTATAAACTCATTATTATATATCATTTGGGGGGAAATTCCATTTTATTCTATATACATTTTTTTCCCTGTTATTCACCAAGAACCAGTTGAACTGGGTGATGCTCCCTTAATAGGTTTTGACCACAGAAAAGTATACCTCTTGAGTTATGTCCCGGACAAAGTTCAAAGTGCAATAATTCCAAACTTAGGCAAGACAGAGTAACTGTTCTTTGCACTGCACATCAACCCAATGATATCTATCTACCTACAAAGTTTCTGGTTTCTATCTCTTATAGTGTCAGAGTTATGTCCGAGACAATGCTCAAAGTTTAAAAATTAACAAAGGGCAATAACTTCAAAATTAGGCAAGGCAGAGCTAAGGTTCTTCAACACATCTACCCAATGAGATCTATCTACCTACAAAGTTTCATGTTGATACTTCTTGTTGTTACAGAGTTATGTCCCTGACAAGAAAAGTGGGCGGACAGACAACCAGACGGACGGCAAACAAAACAGTGACTATATGCTCACCCTTCGGAGAGCATAACAAAACTTTCCTGCTATTATCTAATAACTGTTTTAGTATATCATTTTGAAAAGTACAAAAAAAACAACAAAAAAACTTAAGTATGATATGATACTGCCCTGACAGGGACACAAAGGTAAGTAAGACTATCTCTATGTATTTGATTATTCAAACCTAAAACCAGAAATATAAATAAGTATACCATTTATTTATAAACCTTACCTCTGGGTATATACCAATCAGAGCATCAGCCCTGTTGTAAAATTCTTCCTTGAGAGAGATGACAATACACTGGAAATGTTTTTGTGATTCCTCACGAATATATGCGGCTACCTGAAATAGTGAGATAGATGTATTTAACTAAGGATTTTCTGAAAACAAGTGGCAATGACTTGCCTGTTCAACAAATACAGAGGCAGGCTTACCTGCATATCATAGTCAGGAAAAATGTTCACATTGCAGATTTTTGATTTTTAAAAAATTTTCAGACTAAAAATGTGAATATTATGTTCAAGCACCTTCAGAGCAGGGTATCAATAAAAATAAATAGAGGATATTGAATAAGTGTAAGTTTAATACTGAATTTATTTAACAAGTTGAATAAAATTATATTATGCGAGCCACTGGCGAGCATATCATTTTATTCAACTAGTTCAATAAATTTAGTAATGAACTTACACCAATGTAATATTCTATTTAGCACATACCAAAGATAAAGACCGTAAACATTTTTCATTGACCCGCCTGTAGTATATCGCGTACATTTAGCATGTCTTAATGCTATGTTTATATAACACTAATGAAGTCTAAATATATGCATGGCCGTGCAATACCAATTTTACTTTATTTTTGCCACCTTATCCAATTACTCTATAACTAGTGTCATTTCAAATGGATGGAATCATTGTTGTTTTATTTTCAATTATTTCGTTTAAACAATATTTTATTTATAATCCATACATTTACATAATAAAGTACATAAAATAAAATTTACTGATTGGAGTAGGAAGCTTTTTTGAAATCTCTCTCCATATTAATTATTTCTTCATATTACAGAAGGCTTTCAACGTCAGAGCAATGAAAGGAATGTTGGTAAACAGCGATAGCATCATCCTGTGGTCGACAATTAATACAATTGTTATCCCTGTTCAATTATTTGACTGTGTGTGAAACTACCTTATCCAATCTTATGCGTCCATTCATCAAGAGCAATGTAGTTCTATGCATTCTATCCAATACAAAGAATGGTGCTGGTTGATAACTGAAAGTAAATATATATACCTTGTAAAAACTTTCGTGTTAAACATATACAGAGAGCAGAAAGCAAGGTATAAAAAGATAATGTTAGATCAAATATTAATTTTACTCTTAATTAACAATTTCAAATATAATTTTTTTCAGACAATCAAGAATAATTTGAATAAATAAACAACTGACAATTTCTACAATCTAACATCTAACTGTATGCATGGAGAGATATATTTTTTATACAAATAAGCACACACTACACTTGTATAGAACAACAACCCTTCAATAAGATAGACAGGGAGTTCCTCAAAAGAAGATAAATACCTGTCAAGCTCATACTAAATTATTTAACATTTTATTATTCAACCTTAATGGGTTAAGCCAAGCTTAAATTACATATGTTTTCACTAAGGTCGATATGAACCCTACAACTGATATACAATTCGTATCAAATACCTGTGAATGGCAAACAATAGAGCTAAAGGACAGCACTCGGGTTTCCTAACGCAGTTTTCTCTCCTCTCCAGACAAGAATTCGATCCATTGGGTTCGGAATCTTTCTGTTTCGCTGTATGCTACACAGTTATAGTTTACACCATCCGATAGGTACGGTGATCTTCGACGGGATGTTTTTTGTCATAGCCGCGTCCTAAAATGCAGCTGGGCACTCTGGTTTCTTGCCAAGGACTAAAGTGATAAATAAAAACAGTTAAATATTTTGTGGATTTCATTTGAATGTTGGTCTACTGAAATGTATCTAGCAATCTTATCAATATATTTATGACAGTCAATACAATATATAAGACAATTCACAATATGCTCCTTATTGCCTGTTATTGCCATCAATACTGTTTTTAGATACCTCATTATCCTGTACTTAGAAAATTTAGGAATCTAAATATTAGATGTATAATATACTGAAAACATTTAGCAAAGTAAGTATATTTCACTTAAACTTCAATACTGAATAATCATGGAGGCAACTGTAGTTAAATGTGTAAAATAATTATACTATCTGGATAAAGACAATATTATATATTATTGATAGCTATAGTTATATTACTGTTATTTTTCACATTGCAACATATCTCAAAGATCTTCTGCTGTAACGGGATGTAGATTATTTAAATCCAGTCTACGCAGCATATATCATTGTGCATAATCTAACAGTCCATGACTTTATTATTCAATTCAAAAAATATTTTGTTCATTTATACTGTATAATATTTATGATAATTTTTTTATTGATTTCTCTTTTCGATGAAGCAATTTATGTACTAGCGGATTCATTTTCCATATTAAAACCTCCCGACACGTATCTTAATGGACTTGTCCCCTTTCATTCTGGACATGACCACTCATTATTTTTAGGGATATTTTCAAAAATAAGTATTGTGATAGAGTAGACTATGAACATGCCTCCTGATCTTGAGCTGTATTGGTTGCCCTGGTAATATTAGTTACCACCTACAAACTAAAAGTTAACATTACATGAAGACTTTCAAGGTTAACTTGCAGTAAAAAGACACATACACTATCTGCAATCTCAACTAAATATTTTTAACATAAAATTCACAATGTCTAATCAAATACAGCGACATGTACTGACCTTGTATATTTCATCAATCTTGTTGGATACATGATCAAAACAGTGCATAAATCTGTCATATCTTTCTTTCCTAACTTTCTCAAATGCTTGTTTTGCTTTCTTGGCCCTTTTCCTGGCATTTTCAAATTCCTCTGAAGTTTCCATTAACCTTTCTTTTACACCATCTAACCTGTTAGATTAAAAATAAGATAACATGTATTTCTTATGGTATAAAGATTTGTTATCCCTAAATATATTCTTTCAAAGACATAGATAACACAGATAGGCAATTTTCTAGCCAGTTAAGATATCACGCATGCTTGCTAAACTTAAAACTTGAAGCAAGTAAAACATTAACCAGATATCAAAATCAGGAAAATAATACATTTTTTGAAAGCTCATGCATTTGTCTATGGCTGAAAGGTAAAAACATTTACAGCTCCCATTTAAATAAATGATACATAAATTTTTAAAGAGAACTACTTATTTTGTTACAAAACTATTCAAACTATACAAAACTATAAGACGAAAAAACTGGCTTATTGATTGATTTTCTTTAGACCGGGCGGTCAATGATAACCTACGAAAGTGCAAGCACTTATTTCCAGTAGGGTCCTTACCTCCCCAGACTCTAAAGACAGCTATGAGATACAAGGGAGTCCGGGAACCAGTCCCTAGCTCTTATTGGGTATGTTCTGCTACATTTTTCTAAGTGAAAGGCAAGGAAAGTTACCAATATTTTAACATGCAGCAATAGATAAAAGATTGAACTTTCAAATGGTGCATAATATCTAAGGATCAAATGTACATCCATTAAGTTTTATTAGCTACCTAACTTGAGATACATTTTCAGTAAATCATCATTACAAAATTATATGCTAAATTTCAGTACTTTTAGAACCAAAATCTCCATTTTTTTTTAATATTTAAACCATTCAAATTAAAGCCACTGATCAAACCTGACAATAATATATATCTACATCAGCTAGGTATCATCTTTTGTACAGTGATTAAAGTTGTTGAAGCTACAAATGTTCGGGGACTTATTACATTCAACTTTTTCACCGATACAAACATTCGCGGAAGTGTAATGATAAATCGCGAAAAGCGCTAACTTAAAAAGCGTGAAATATTTTCTAGGAATAGAGTATAAGATATTGGTAATGTATTCTTTAATAACTTACTTTTCCATAGCTTTCATATTGGGAGCATTAATTCTCTGTAATGTAGACACCATATCAGATACTCCTTTAGTCATTTGTTCGATATTCTTCTTCACTTCAGATGGGTCATCAATCTGAGAAAAAAAACAATTGTATAACAACTTTTATCACATGATATCCATTTTTTCCTTACAATGTAATATTGTGATTTTTTTAATCAGTAATATGTGTAAAGAAGCAAGGGAGGGCCCACAATAATGTTACAATAACTGTTGACCCAACACTTTTGTATATTTTGTAGACATGTTGATGTAAAATTAATGTTTATTTATATAATTATAGGCAATAAAAGATCATTAAACTACTAATGTAAAAGTAATTTGACACGTAAGGTACCAAGATTATAAACAAATGTGTGCAGAACTTCAAAACATGATTTTTTTGCTATATTTTGGTGAGATTCAATCCAGGCTAGATGTTCATGTATTGGCACTTGTCTTTAATAAGTTAAGAAGTTATCCTTACATAAAAATTATCTTATCATGAAGTTCCTTAAATTTCAGTCTTTCACATATTTTCCTATACATATTTTTTTTAATCCTACCTCTTTGAGATCGTCATCTAAACCAGAGTAATCTATAATGATCAAAGCTTCTTTCTCGTATATTTTCTTTGCACCTTTACTGCTCATACTGTCGAGCCCGGTCTCGGACTGGGTACCATCCATCTGGGTACCATCCATGGCACTGGACGGCTCGTTCTCTTGTGTAATGTCATCCATCGTGCCCTTTCTCATAGGCAGGTTGATGTTGTCCATCTATACAAGTAATTAAGTAAGTAATAATAATTCTATTTCAATTCTCAGGTGTCAGCTAAAGCATTTACTTACACGGCCAATATAGAACCATAATATCACAGAAATTCGATCACTAATAAATCAAGTTACTATGTGAGCATGAGTAACTAGTCTTTTTTGGATAGTGAGAAAACTAGATGACATGATTGCAAAGACAAAAATTTTTTATCTTAAGTTTTAAACCCTTACCCTGCTGAAATGGAAACTGACTAGCCTTTGCTATCAATACTGAAAAGCTAGGTCAACCTTCACCTACCGTACAGTCAGGCCAGACTATATATTGTTAGCTGATTAACTTACAAAATTTCATCTTGATATCCCTTAAAACTGGTAATGTGGAAGCTGGATAAGTCCATTTAATAAAATTCAGCAAGTTCAGTGGGTATTCATGGTCATTTACAAATAACATATTGCAGTATGTCATATTTTTAGATATATAACAAAAGTACTGTATGCGGTGTTAAGGCTTATCTATTTGAAATTTTAAAGTTAAAAAAAGAGGCATAACTCCAAAAATATTGCTTTCAGAGTTATGCTCAATGTCAAACTAATTTGCCTTTTCATGATAAGCAAGCATTCCAAGTTTCATATTGATATCTTTAAAATTGTTTGAGTAATGGCTTGCAATAAAGTTATTGCATGATGACAATGACGCCACAGCCATCTCAACAACTGGATATTTTCTTCAAAACAGACAAGCTAATAATCAATCTAAACACAACAAACCTTGCAAGTTTTCAGCAGACTATGTCTATCAGCACGTTTCTGTTCAAGCCAAGTCTCGTGGCCAGCAACTTGTTTCTGTGCTGCAGCAATCTCTTTATTCTGTGCATTCAGTCGTTTCTTGATCTCATTAATCTGTCCCTCAAAGTCGTCAACCTGTGACTTTATAGTCAGTCTCTGTTGTTTACATCTATCTGCTTTCTGCATCTCTCTGTCTATCGTCTATGGATCAAAAATATCATGAAAAATAAATGTGACTGAAATTCAAGTCAAATGGATGAGCAACAAACCTGAAATCAAATCCCACGGTATGGGACTGTGTGTTAATGCTGGATATCACATATCAAGAGGCTGTGATATAAGTAGTTGCTGAGAAAACTGTTATGAAAATTTCCTACTATACCACGAGTTAATGTTGTATACCAAATATCAAGAGGCTGTGAAAAGTAGTTGCTGAGAAAACTGTTAAGAAAATGTTTTCCCCACCTGCCGCCTGACATTCACCATACTATAACCCGGGTTTGCACCTGGCCAAAAGACCAACAAAATATAAATAAATTGTGTTATGATATTGAAGAACCTATAGAATAAGCATAGACATGCTGAAAAATGACACATTCATAAAAGGGCCATTAATATAAATGCAATCAAAATTTCTCATTAAATGCCAATAAACATTAAAAGTAAATTCTAATTTAAAGTCAACTAAAGGTTATAAAATATTTAAAGAATATTCAATTAAGTATCAGTACATTGAGTTTTGACATACCTCCATATTTCTTGCCTCGTCATTTTTCACTTTCTCCAATTCTTTTTCATCATCTGTCACAGCCTTTTCCCATTTCATAACATTAGCTGCATATAGAGAACATTTATAATTAAAGCTGTGTTCGAAATTAGCAGTAGTCTTATAGCCCCTGACCACTAAATTTCTCCTCGGGCTACCAACTTTTCACAGTAACAAGCCCGACCAGGCTACTGTATTTTCAGAGGCAATATAAATAACTGTTTTGAACAAATGAATCGTGCTAGTGAAATGTCTTTTGGGCTAGTGAATATTCCAATCTGGTATTACAACCAGACTAGTTGATTAAATCCTAATTTCTTACACCGTTAAACTATACATGAAGGGGACAATTTACTTTGGTATATATCCAGGTACAAATGGGATACTGGTTAGAATTAAAGATCTTTAGTCATCTAAATGGATAGTTGTTATCTTACGAGAAAATAATTGCTCATCCATAGTAGTGAGGGGGAAGATTAAGCAATGGTCAGTTACCTTGCCAACAACTGTTCTCTATATAAGAACATCATTACTGTCTAGACAATGTCCTTAATCTAGTCAAAGTATCTTCTTATTTCTATACTTTTATAAGTTACAAATACCTACATATAACAGAATTACATGGTCTTTTTAACATACACAAATAAGTTGTAACATATGATACAAAAATATATTTCACAGGCTATGATTTCAACAAAATTTTATACCGAGAGTATCTCTGGACCGTTCAAATTCTATCTGGTTCTGCAGTTTGAACTTTTGGTTCTCAAATTCCAAACGTTTCTTGGCTCTTTCTTGTTGTACTAACAATTCTCTCTCTTCATACTGTCTGTAAATTATAAAATACACTATATTTATAAAATATAGAATGAGAAATCTAAAAGATATAATGCAATATCTTGAAGAATATTTTTATAAAATTTATCAATAGTTAAATTGTATAATTATTTCTTTAATCTCATGGTAAGAGATGGAAAATTCCACTCGTCCGCTCCTAGTAGAATTTAAGAGAACTGGATGCAAGACGGGAAGAAAAATATTGCCTGCACATTGGTCTTCGAAGCTACTCGCCCTGCAGATGAAATGACTCTGAAAATATTTTTCGACGCCTGCATGGTTGATTCTCAAAAAAGTTTTAAAACACAGAATGTCTCTGTTACTGAACACTTAGGAATATTGTACATAAAAAGAATGAAGTATGGCTTTAACCATTTAGCAATGATTTCCTGCAAGCACTCTTCACTTTTTAGGCAATATACATACTATATTTTTCATACAAACATTTTAAAAGTATTCTTTTTCAGAATTCAAACAATTATTTTAGCAGCAGATATATAGCTTTATAAACTTTACCAATCTGACACAATTACACTGTAATTAACAAAATAAAAAATTAAACAATCTGCTTTCAAAAACAGTTAATAGTATATCAATTTGTTTAAAGCTAATCAATAGTAAACATTGTTGAGATATTTGGGTATACATAATACAGTAAAAACTCCCTAATGAGACCACTGAAGGGACTTTGCATATCTGGTCTTAATAGCGGGTTGGTCTCATGAATGAGTTTAGTCAGACTGTTTCTTTTTAAGTTTCTCTCTAACGAGAGAACATCTAAAAATACACACTTTTATTGTTGTTCTATTTTGACATAACAAATCACATTGTTTTACAGGGATGGAAATAACACAACTTTATCAAACAATTTTTCAAACGCTGCAACACAACAAAACACACCGACCAATTTAACCTATAATTATTTTTCGTTGCAGATTTACTTCAGAATTGTATTCCAAGCTGGTTTGTGTTTGTTTCAAAATACGGAGCAAAATAGATAATGATACCAGCACACTAGATGGCCATTTATGAATTATCACATGTAAAAAAAAAACCCTGCTAATATGCAACAAGTCTCCTTCAGCTGATTATAATAAAGTGGTATGTTACTAACCTGATATTTTCCACACCAATCTGGGCACAGAAATCTTCAAACAATTCATCTTCTACCCTGTTCATTCTATCCTTCAATGCTTTTATCGTGTCCTCCCTTTCATTCATAGATCTCTCTAACTGATGCATTCTAGGCTGTACAAAATCATCAAACATTTCATACAGTTTATTTAAATATAATATATGAAAGTAAGATATGTTTAACCATTACCTTACTATCTGAAATGGACCTGCTCATCTTTAAAGCTGTATGCCTCCAGATGAGCAAAATATTTCAATAACTTCAAACTTGAGAAAAAAGTACTAAGATTTAAAGAAAAGTAAAAATATTCACGATTCAAGTAATGATTTACATGTTATGTGTTATTAATGACTGATTTTTCAGTATTTATAACTATACGCAGTATGGGCTTTTATGTGTGCATATTTTGTCCTCTTTTTAGTAATTTACGTGGGTTGTAAATGCCATTGATAATGTATAAATAGCTTCCTTTTGGTTATTTCACTAAATAACACTTTTTAACACATTTCAAAATTTTCATGAAATTTAGCATGAATCTGGAGGCATGCTGCTTTAAATCTGCACAAAAATATTCATCATTTTTAAGGAAAATTTCAAAATCTGTACTGGCAGAAGTAAGCAGTGTAAAACATAATCAGACTGGTGGCATGGATGGTTTCTATTGCTGCTTGTAGGCAAGGGTTAAGATACTACTATTGTAATATTATTTATCAAAATTATTAAAAATATCTTTGTTCAATGATTATAATTTTCTAAGATAATTAAAAATAATAAATACTACAATTTAGCAAACCACACTGTCACATCTGAACAGATTGCAAAATGAAAATGTGCAGGTTTACTTTGCTCTTTATTCATTACCCAGACATTAATAAAGAAACAGTCATAACTAGAACTGCCACTATCATGGCGTGAATACCCCCGCATACCACTTTGTCAGAATCAACAGTGGCCATTTAGAGCTCAAGAACAACCTCCCTGCCAAATCTGAGGTTACTAAGCCAGTGCATTGCTAAGTTATGTATTCTACATGCTTCAAATGTGAAAATGTCAAAATCAATACATTGCGGACAGGACATTCTTTAGCAATTGAGAAGAAAAGCTTTTTTTTGTCAAGGTCCCTGTGACCTTGACCTCAAAATAAATAGGGGTCACCTTATAGTCATGATCAACATCCATGCCAAATATGAAGACTGTAGGTCAAAGGAATCGTAAGTTAATGGGTGGACAAACTTTTTGAAGTCAAAGTCCCTATGACCTTGACCTTTGATTCAGTGACCTCAAAATCAAAAGGGGTCATCTACTAATCATGATCAACATACATGTCAAATATGAAGACTGTGGGTCAAGGCCCCTGCGACCTTGACATTTGACCTCAAAATCAATAGTGGTCATCAACTAATTATGACTAACCTCCATGCCAAATATGAAGAGTAAGGGTCAAGGGAATCTTAAATTATTTGGCGGACAACCTTTTTGAAGTCAAGGCCCCTGTGACCTTGACCTTTGACCTAGTGACCTCAAAGTCAATAGGGGTCATCTACTTATCATGACTAGCCTCCATGCCAAATATGAAGACTGTGGGTCAAGGAATCTTAAGTTATAGGGCGGACAAGCTTTTTGAAGTCAAGGCCCTGTGACCTTGACCTTTGACCTGGTGACCTCAAAATCAATAGGGGTCATCTACTAATCATGACTAACCTCCATGCCAAATATGAAGACTGTGGGTCAAAGGAATCTTAAGTTATTGGGCGGACAAGCTTTTTGAAGTCAAGGCCCCTGTGACCTTGACCTTTGACCTGGTGACCTCAAAATCAATAGGGGTCATCTACTAATCATGACTAACCTCCATGCCAAATATGAAGACTAAGGGTCAAAGGAATCTTAAGTTATTGGGCGGACAAGAAAAAACCGACGGATGGCCGGACAAGCTGATTCCAGTATACCCCCCTTACAACTTTGTTGTGCGGGGGTTTAACAAGCAATTATCATAGTATTGCAAGCAATCCATAAGTCCCCTACCGGTTAGAACCCCAGCAACATTCTGATGGGCCATTGGCCATTCAATTTTACCAGTGGATGAATGACATGAATGAACTTAAATCTTTTGAGTTCTAAGTTTGTCTATATCACAGTAATGTGTTAAGTTTCCCTGCCTAGTAAGGAAATTCTGTTTATACAACCTTGTCATATTATTACAATGTGGGATTTTAAAGTAAATCCTATAAGGAATGAAGAAGTTGGAGTGAAAAATACCAATTTCTCGAAAAAAATCTAAGTTCAAGGGGGAGATAATTCTGGAAATAGTCTTGCTAGAGTATCTAACCTTCTCAAAAATGTTGAGTGGTAATAAGAAACATATATATGAAGTTTGAAGTAGATACATTAGGAAATAAAGAAGTTATTTAAAAAAGACAACATTTTTTTCATAAAAATTCTAAGTTCAAGGGAGGTAATACTGATAATTTTTGTGCTAGAGTTGTAAACCTTGTCACATATGATGTGGTTGATGGCCAGAAACTTATATTTAAAGTTTGAAGTAAAGTTTAAATCAGAAATCTTGAAATTCAGGCTTTTTGTTGCCATAGCAACCAGAATTTTCAACATAGGAAGAAAAGAAAAAAATGTGCATAATCTCCAGACTGCCATCTACCCATATTTCAAGTTTCATAAAAATATTTTCAGTACTTTTTGAGTTATCACGGGATCCAGTTTATGTGTTAAATTTGCCATATTTTCCGACTATTTGTTGCCATAGCAACCAGAATTTTCAACATAGGAAGAAAAAAAAAAGACGTGCATAATGTCCATACTGCAATCTATACATACAGTCAAGACTGCCTTAGCGACCCCCTGATTTCAACGACTCCCTGTCTTATCTGACCTTGTTTCAGTCCTCCCAATGTATTTCCCTATATAAATGGTCTGAATTATACGACTCCCTGTCATATGTGACAAGCGACCCTAATTGTCCGGTCCCAATGCATTGCTTTGTCTGATTTAAACGACTTTCACACCTTTTAATTGTTCGTTTATCAGATAAATAATACCTGTTTTAACACCCAGAGGGCCAAATTAATTAAGTCCAATTATTATCCAGTAGTCAGTACACTTCAAACAACCTCTACACAACATTACATCAATACACAGTTTACATGTACATACAGGTATCAAGTGACGTAGTATAAGGTAAGCATGATGCAATCGATGTGTGTTAACAATTGAGGTGTGAAGTACATAATGACCTGATCAAACTGGATTACGATTTTGTGTCAGATTTTTTTTTACCGTTTATGTAATGCCAACAGAAGAATTTTTTAGGCAGCATTTTTTTATTTCACCTTTCTATTGCTACATGAATTCTACGTGAAAATGTTGACATTTAAAGAGAAAAAACTTTGGATATGAATATGTCTTAAAGTATGATATTTATTTTAGGGATTTTGAATGCATCAGATTCAAGTTAATTTGTACTAAAATGATTCAATATAAATCTAATATAAAAATAAAATTTATTTTTATATGATATACAAGCAATTAATTATAATGTTTTACAGGGATTCTCATTTTATTTACATCAAGTATTTAAAGAACCTATGTTTATTTACAATTGGTTACATATTATTCCTTCACACAGTTATGTATTTTAATTTTCTTTGAGACTGTATTAAGAGACTCCCTGTCATATGTGACCTTTTTCTGAGGGTCCCTTGGAAAGTCACATATGACAGTGTTGACTGTATATCAAGTTTCATAAAAATATTTTCAGTACTTTTTGCGTTATCGCGGGATCCAGTTTTGTGGACGGACGGACTGACGGACAGACAGACAGACGGTAAACCTAAAGTCCCCTCCGGTTAAACCTATAGGGGACTCATGAACCTCTTTTATGATTCTCTACAAATTACATACACATTATCCATATAAGATTAAATTACCAAATTATTGCTATACAATGACATTGTCTGTATGTAGATATGAAATAAAGTAATTTTGTTAAGATTTCTCCTGCCAGATCAACAAATACAAATACATACCTCAAATGAGTGGATTTGTTCCTTATAATTTCTCAGATCTTTCTCATTCTGTGTTAGATGTTTATTTTGCTACAATACAAAAATACTTCATATAAACACAAAATTATTATGACAAAAAGATAAAATTCAAACTGAGATCAGCGTCAACCAACTTTTTTCCCCCCACTTAACAGGGACTTTTTTGGCTTATTTTATAGTTGATATTCCTTCATATTCCCAACTGAAAATACTATATTATTTTCCCAATCCACAGGGAAAAATTCCCACTTGAATGTTACAAAATAAAAATATTGAATAACAGATACTAAAATCTTTGAAAATAAGAGCTTCTTCATTGATATGGTGCTTAAAAGTTTGAAGATGCCATCCTAGACAGTGATTCTTTGCATTTATTTAATCACTGCAAAATCTAAGTTATGCTTTTTCCTCCCAATTTTTAACAAAACATTGTTTAAATTCCCAATTCCATGGGTATTAATCATGTTCCAAAATCCTGGAAAAAAACCCTGCTTAAAATATTGATGTCATCATATTCTAACATCATGCCAAGTTTAAAGAAATTCTATAGAACAGTTTTAATTCTGCCTATATGACTGTCTTTAAGGCTGTTTTCTATTCTCTTTCTGCTTATTGTATAAATGTTGATTAAGAAAAGACACTTAAGAATGATTCAATTTATTTATCAAGGCTGACAGTTAAGTACAACATACTGTATTATCCCTGTCTGTAATGGAATATTTCAATCTCGTCTCAAGACCTTTAATCTGTGAACGAATAGTATTTAATTCTGATTCTTTTCTCTTCTTTTTAGACATTTCTTTTAATTCTGTTGTCAATTTTTCTTTCTTCTGTTTCAACTGTCCAAGCATTTTTTCATCCCAACGTCTAGCTTTGGCCTTCAAATCACTGGAATTATACAACAAATAAACTGTCAAACACTACAGCAATAAATATATTACCTCTCAACCTGCTATATTTATATAATGGATCTGTCCAGCTTTGAATTTGGAACACTCAATTCAAAATTCAAGAGATTATAATATTAAAATACAAAAATTGAGCTGCCAACAGTATAGAACCTGGTCAGACTGCACGGATGTTCAGGCTGGCCTGGCTCTATACTAGTGGTAAAGACTAATCACTTTTGTTTCCAGCAGGTAAAGGGTTAAATGGACATGTCTATCTTTTAATTTGGAAAAAGCCACATTTCACTATAAGGTGAAATTTTAAAACATGTACTCATTGAATAGCAAACAGAGGAAAGCATAACAAGATAGCATGGATGTGGTGGCTGATCTTGGTCTGCACTTGTCCAATAGGTGCAATCTTTTACATCTCAATAGTTCAACATGCTTTCACATTTCTATCACAATTATTGACAACACTACATACCATTATACCTTAATTTGTGATCCTAAGCTAGAACTGAAGGTAACAAACAAACTACTGTTTTGGTGTTATACCCAAAATCTTAAAAGAAAGTCCATGTGGTTGTTGACTCTTAAAAACTCCAAAGGCAAAAGTATTCAGTTATATTCAAAATTGTAGAAAAAAGTTTAAACTCACCTAAAACTAAACAATAATTTGAAACAAACTTTTGTAATAATAATTATAGATTTTCTTTTCAATTGATTTAGCAGGCTATTTTTTATGGTACAGTAATTAACTAAATTGTCATAATTCCAAATTATCTGTTGAGGCTTTCCTGTTAATCTAAGACAGTCTAGATATCACATTAATGTGCATTTCACTGTGTGAACATATCTTATGTAACTACACGTATTTGAGATGTCATCTTCAAACACATACACAATAATCCGATAAATTTCTAGCAAGATTGAATAGTTCACAGTTGCAAGGGGAAAGCAAGTGTATGTCTACAACACTCAGCCTGAACATTCACCTTGTCCGTTGTTAGTATCAAAGTACTTCAGGATCAAAATGTGTAACAAAATCTGCGCAGATTGCACTGACTAACTGTTAATGCCAGCCATTTTTTACCACTCACCTTTAAAGAGACAAACATAATTTAGTAGATTATAAACGAGACATACCTAGCACCTCCTGAGATCACACCAGACTTCTGGAACAATGTACCATCTAATGCTACAGACTGACAAATAGAAAACATGTTTAACTTTAAACATTATTATCAATAATTTTTGCTCTTTTTTTCCAATTAAGGAACCAGTATAAATCATTTAAACAGTTTGATAATTTTAAAGTTAATCTTATTTAAACCATTTGACAAGCAACAAAACTTATATCTAGGAGTGACTATCACTAGACTTGCAAACAAAGATGAAAGCTCTATTCTGTTCATATGCATTAAATAATTGCTACCTCCAGTCAGTATTATTTACCCTATATTTCCTAATGGATATCAATGTTATTTAACTTACATGTGCGTATTTTTTATTCTCAAGCCTGTATTACATACCTTATGTCTCTCATGACCTCCGAACGCCACTTTTCTAGCATCCTCTACCGTCTCGCAAACTAGAGCATTTCCACAGGCAAAGATTAAAGCTTTCTTAATAGATGGTGGCTCGTATCTGATTACATCAACTACCAATTTTACATTCTTTGGTTCACGAATTTCCCTAAATAAAATTATAAAATCAATGTTATTGGAACTCTATGTATTTTTAACCACAGCAGGTCAATGCTTCATTTACAAAATTTTATGATAAAATTCTCTATTGTCATCTTACATTCTTTTTTTTGGTGTTATTAAGCCACATTAACATCGCCAATATCATACAGCAACTTTCAAGCTTAACAAGCATTTGATAGTATTGCGGGCAATACAGTAGTCCCCTACCGGTCCCTCAAAAAGTTCTTTAATTGTCATACACTCCTGTGTATTGCCATTTATAATGAATTTGAGGATGAAGTCTGTATTTGAAAATATCAACCACAAAACATAATAAAATAAGTTTGTCTATATCACAGTAATGTGTTAAGTTTCCATGCTTAGTAAGGAAATTATGTTTATACAACCTTGTCATATTATTACGATGTGGGATTTTAAAGTAAATCCTATAAGGAATGAAGAAGTTGGAGTGAAAATACCAGTTTCTCGAAAAAAATCTAAGTTCAAGGGGGACATAATTCTGGAAATAGTCTTGCTAGAGTATTTAACCTTCTCAAAAATGTCGAGTGATAATAAGAAACATATATATGAAGTTTGAAGTAGATACATTAGGAAATAAAGAAGATATTTAAAAAAGACAACATTTTTTCCCCTAAAAAAATCTAAGTTCAATCTAAGTTCAAGGGAGGTAATACTGATATTTTTTGTGCTAGAGTTATAAACCTTGTCACATATGATGTGGTTGATGACCAGAAACTTATATTTAAAGTTTGAAGTAAACACCTTAAGAAATAAAGAACATATAGTGAAAAAGCTGAAAAATTTAAATCAGAAATCTTGAAATTCAGGCTATTTGTTGCCATAGCAACCAGAATTTTCAACATAGGAAGAAAAGAAAAAGATGTGCATAACCTCCAGACTGCCATCTACCCATATTTCAAGTTTCATTAAAATATTTTCAGTACTTTTTGAGTTATCACTGGATCCAGCTTATGTGTAAAATTTGCCATATTTTCAGACTATTTGTTACCATAGCAACCAGAATTTTCAACATAGGAAGAAAAAAAAAAGACGTGCATAATCTCCATACTGCCATCTATCCATATATCAAGTTTCATAAAAATATTTACAGTACTTTTTACGTTATCGTGGGATCCAGTTTTGTGGACGGACGGACTGACGGACTGACAGACAGACAGACAGACAGACAGACGGACAGACAGACAGACGGACAGACGGACGGAGGGTAAACCTAAAGTCCCTTCCGGTTAACCGGTTGGGGACTAAAAAAGTGGGAAAAAATGTATTTGAATTAATTAGCATTTTTAAAAAAATATTGAAATAGCCTATAACACTATTCAAATATAGTGTTATTTATGAAAGTGTTACACATCACATTACTAGCAACCAGATTAACTAAAATTACTACAATACAATATTGAAACAAAATGGTTATGTGAAAGTCAAATGCCCAAATCTGTTAATAAATAAAAAAACTAGTGATGGTGATATAACCTGAACTTTAACTTTTGAACTAAAAGGTTAATGTCATATAGGGGTCAAGGTCATATTTCAATATGCTTGGTATGCACTGGTTACCTGGGTAGAACCAGTTGTGGCTAGCAGGTTAGGATACTCAATACATAAGAGGTATATGCCTGTCAATTTATAGCCGAAACACTGTTAAACAGATGCTCTTCACAACAAATAACCTTACCTTAGTTTTTCATTAACAGGTTTCACATCTAGATAATCAAGGGGAAGAAAGGTTTCAGGTTCAATCCTCTGTTCCTTCATATACTGGATACATTCCTTTGCTGTTTTCAGTGTGTCACAGATGATGGCATCCATGTATTTACCAAGACATTTGGTGATAGCTATCTGGTATCGCTTGTGACTTGGTTGACACAGATCTATCAATCGTCCATGCTGTCAAAGAAAAACAATTTTTTTTTGTTGACGGTTATGACAATACATAAATAATCATTTTCAAACTGCCGATTTTGTATAACAGATATATTATCCTACTTTGGCAATGCAACCATTAATTGCAAACTTGAAAATGTTCCAAATCCCAAAAAACATTATTATCAAGATGCAAATAATTTTAGTAGGTTGTGGTCAGTATGCAAGATAAATACAAACCTAGTTTTAAATATATAATAATACATCACTATACTATAGGCTCATGGTAAACACATTCATCAAAGTAATCCAAGTACTGTATTGGTAAACACTAAACTACCTGTATACAACAAACAACAGCTATAAAAGCAAACAAAGGACAGTGTGCTGGACTATTCTCAGTTTTTGATAGTAATACAAGAGCCTGGATAACCTTAAATTTTCTTACATTCAAAATGGGCCATAATTATGTCAAAATCCATGTTACTGATCAAGGTCCTTGATCAGTGACCTTATATTATGCTCTTAGATAAGACACTAGTGTGTGAAGTTTCAACTCACTACTTAAATTTGGATATAACCAACTTATATGCAAAAACTTAACCAAAATGAGACAGCCAAGTCTACACTTGACCCTTGGGTGGGTACAAGGTGTTTTTCAATTATTCTAGCTCAAAACTGAACACAAATTTGTTATAATAACAAAACATATGCATTAACATTACTTACCACACCAGGATATAAACGCTTTAAGTTGTCCAATAATTCTGCTTTCTTCATAGCTCGAGCCGACTCATGTTTATCAACCTATAAATTATGAGAAATTATAGTATAAAAAAAATCAAATCAGTAAATTGATCTAAACTTAGTTCTAAAAGATATTTGTAAATATTTGTATTCAAGACATATTAATACTGTTATTGACACACAGCAATCTGGCCTTTAGAATACCTAGACTGCAGTTTGTGCATTATTTTAGGCACAAGTAGGCTTCTTGTACAACTTCTAACCATTCAGTTAGCTACAAAGCTTTCTCACAAAAATGAGTACAGGATTCCAAGCAGAAAATGCCAAATTAATTTAAATATATTTCTGGTTAAGGCACCAATAATTCAACAATTCTTTTATTTCATGACAACTTGCACAATTCATACTCAAACAGATTCAAGGGGATTGATCATTACCATTAAAATTATGTTCAAAGAAAAATTCAAGGCAAGAAAATAAACAAATTTTAGATTAAATTAAAATACATAGCAAACTTAATGACAAATTCATAAACATACCTTTGCTTCACTAAGTTGCTCACCAATTGAGCATAATTCATTTTCAATTTGTTGTATTCTTTCATTTGCAGTTGTAACCTCCCCTCCTAGTTCTTCTTCAGCTACTCTTTGTTCTTCTATAGCTTGAGTACTCTGTCTGTAATGACAACACATTTCATACTATGCTCATGGTTTGTATTTAATCACATTTCCAAAGTGCTATTGGGACTACTGTAAGACATTTGTTATTTAAAGACACTAGATTGAAAGACAAAGATATGATCTAATGTCAAGGTATGCCAGCAAATTCAAAAGGGGCACAACTCTTAAAATAATAGGTTGAGTGCTTAACCTGTGTTTTGATAGAACATACTTATGTCCCAAATTACACAATTATAGGTATCTATCAAAAGCTATCCTGAGGAAACCAATAATTTCACAGAAAATATGGATTAAATGGAGCATTACTTAAACAATAATAAAACTGATTGCAGCAAAAATGGAACTTGACCTGTGTCTTCATATAACATACATATATACATGCCAAATATCAACACAATCATTGTCATCGTGGTTATTTTAATTTGCAGGTTGAAAACACAACCAATTCTAACAAAATTTCAACCGATGATATACATCGCCAATCTGTTAACAAAAAAATCCCTGAAAGAACAGATATTACTTTATTTACTGTTTTTGGATTTCAAGTAGTACATGAATTACCTGATATAATCATTTAACTTCTCCACACGTTTCTTATTCTCTTCCATCTCGTGTTCTTTTTGTTTGATTTTAGCTAACAGTTCATTCTTCTTACGTATTTCATTATCGTATCTATCCTGGTCTGACTTCTGCTCTCTCTGAATTGAGTCCATTTCCTGTAATAATTTAGCCGATCTCTTCCCCGCCTCTTCCTTCAGTCGCTGGTACTCTAATACCTAGTAATGGTGATATAGTAATGTAATATAATGCTCATTTTCAATTAAACTTTCAGTCACAATTAATAACACAACAAGGTGAAAGATTTTGAAATATATAAAATAATCTGTTGGCAAAATTTAAATTTATTTTTATATTTAATACTATACAAGTATAACAGTACTAGTACCATTAATATTCTAAAATTCTCATTTTACTGTTATGCATTCAATAAAGTCAATGTTATTCACATATCAAAGAAAAAATTCACTACATCAATGAAATTTTCATGTACTTTTTTCACCTTATAAATACTATTCTGAACAAGGTTTTTCTATTTTTAGCTCCGGTGACCTAGTTTTTCATCTGAAATGACCCATGTTTAAACTGGTCCAGTAAACGCAATGTTAATCTCAAACTTTCATTACATTTTATAGAAAGCAATGACTATTTAAAGTAAATTTTTTTATTATTATTTTTCCATGTAACAAATACTTTTGAGAACATAAAGCAATAATTCACCTGAGATTCCTCAAGTTGAAGGTCACGACCTTGAGATTGTGATTCTTCTTCAATCTGCTCCTCAAATTCTCGTCTCTTTGCATCTACCTCTTCTAATTCTCTCTCTAACTCATTTATCTGCGAAGAAATATGCATATATCTCAGTTTATTTTATATCATTCAATATTTTTACTTCTGCATAAAGACATAGATCTTCTCACTTATTTGTATAATATATTCACAATTAAGTTTTTTATCTGGAGCTACATCTAAGAAAAATGTACAGAAAAAATAAACTTTATAAACAGCAAATCTTGAACTGTGATACCGTGGAGACAGTAGAAAACAAGAGTAGTTGTATGGATGCTTCCAAAGTTGCTTTGACATAGAAGAAGAAAGCAACACAACGTATATCTTGAGCATCAGTCAATAAATGAAGGCACTATGACACAGTAATTAAGCGTGGCAGAAAATATAACAAATTGGTAACTATAGGCTAGAGTGAAAAATTTCTAATGCAGAGATATTCATGTATTATATATACAGCATGTAGATTCATATGTTACAATACCTACAATGTTCATGATAAAAAAGATAAAACCATGTGTAATGAAGCAGTGGAGAAACATGAATTCCTACTTACCTCTTGTTCATGGTTATCATGAGTTTTACGTGCCTGTTTCAGTGATTTTCTAAAAAATACAATACAATAAACAATTGTAAAATGTTAATAAAAACATAAAATTTTCACACAATTAAACATTTTCTTGTTTCTAACAAGGCAAAAGAAACTTGTTTTCTGGTTTTATAATGGGGCAAAGGAAACTTAAAAAGCATCCAATTTTCAGAACAGACTGACATCTTATTTTAAGCCATGAAATGTTACAAATTCCTTAAATCATAAAATCTGGCTCTTATTGTTTAAATTTGACTCGAAATATGAGAAACAGTGATCATATAATGAAGTGAGAGCATTACTTACTTGGCACTGTCTAATTTTTTGATCATATGGGCTGTTTTCTCTTTGGCTTTTATATACAGTGGTCTTTTCTTGTTCAGCTCAACTTCCTAGAAAGAAAGAAATGATTTATGTTACTTATGTTGTAAAACATAAATTATTGTATTATATTTAGTATTATCTGTTATTCAATATTACTAAAGTTACTGTAAATCACCAGCACAATACTGGCACATGGTTTGACTCAACTATCTTTTTTTCTTTTCTTTTTTTATTTAGAATAAGCAACTTTCTCTTCAAAATCAAAATTTAAACATGTTATTTCTAGGGCTGTTATTGATAGAAACAATATCAATGTAGTTTTTATATTTTTCTGTCAATAATCGATACATAAAATAATTTTTTTTGACTAATTAAATGTCTAGACATTATGAAAATTTCACCCAAAACATATTCAGAAGCAGGTGTCCATATCTTACATTATGCTGTTTTTACACAGTGGAAATATTTCACAGTAATGATGACAAAAATAGAATGGTCAGGAAAAAAGTCATGCAACGGGCTTTAATAAACAAGGCACTTTTAACTGTTAAATCATTTAAACTGGTATGAAAATGAATGACAGACAAGTAATTATAGGTAATTATCGATATATCAGTGTATCATTGATATTTGTAACCTGATATCGATATATCGTTGATATGCTTTGCACTGAATCAATGACATCTCTAGATATTCAAAAACAAAGACACACAATAAGCTACACAACTTACACTCTCTTTTATGGTTGCCTCTACTTTTGTCAGTTCTCTCTGAAGCTTGCCTTGTTCTTTCTTTTTTTCTTTGATCTCGTCTTCAATCCTGTCTTTTTTCTTCACCTCTTTCTGCAGGGCATGATTCTTGTGGTTAATATCCTCTGTTACCTTGTCTATGTCTCTCTCATTGTAGAATAAACGTAACAGTGACAGATCCAAATGTTTGTCTTCCTATATATATATATATCATCATAAAATATACTACATTAATACACTTATAATTCAACATGAAACTATTTTTAAGGTATTTAATTATAATTTAATACACATATGATCAAGGAACATTGGTCACACTTTAAATACAAATGCCTATATATATATTTTTTTTGAAAAAGCTTAAATTAAAGTTTATCAGCCAACTGTGGGCTTGGTATCAACTGTCCAACACTTATTCTTGATAGAAAATATAAAAGACTTTTTATAGTCAAATTAATAGGATACTGGTGAAAAAAAATTGTTGCATAAAAAAGGAAATAAAAGATTTCATAGTGACATCAATCTAATCATTTATTTAGGACTCTAAAAACAAGACAAAGCCAGGCCATTACTTAAATATAAACGTTCTTCAACACTGCCTTTTTACAAGATATAAGCTATAATCCGGAAAGAAGTCTACATAAGTCTTTGACTTCCTTTTCAATCCTGTTTTATATATTGTTGTTGTATCATAATTGTATATGTTTGCATTATATAAAATAAATATTGTTTAAACCAAGATATAAGCTGACTTAAAAAATTGTATTTCATAGTACACAAATAGATGTGACTTGTAAAAACCCACCAGTTCTTGTTTAAGTTTTTGGTATCTTTCTGCCTCATCTTTCTCTAACTTGGCCTCTTTTTTCTCTGCAGCAATACCTTTCTTTTTATGATAGTTGAACTGTGTGTCTTCCTCAGCCTTCAACATCTCAGCCTTAGCCTTGTCATAATCCTCCTTTAGTTCTCCTGATCTGTAATCACATGTGGCCGTTTAATAGTTTTGAAATTTCAATAAAAAGAATACTGTATGTTTCAGTTTCAAAAAAAAAATTCTAGCTTTCACATGTTAAGGTACAGTTCTTCAATGTTAATTTCATAGTTTTCTGACAAGGATCAACAAATAGATTATTTATTTCTGCAGAATGTTTTTTTGATAAACATTTTCTATATGCATTTTTCTTAAGATCAAATTATGTAAGTGAGCCACTCAACCATGAAGAATAAAGCATTATCATTAACATGGTATGAAGTTAATACATATTAAAAGACATGCTGATATCTAACAAAGCTCTATGCCTACACTATTTAATACTGTATACCTGCTTATTTCTTCAAACATTGCCATTCTTTCCTTGGCATTTTTCATGGCAAGACTTTCAACAGTTCCCTGGAAGACAAGGAAGTTCTTGGACTTTACAAGAACACCGATTTTCTCCAACTCTTGGTTGTACTGTGATGATGATACTGACTGAAAAATGATAAAAAATAATAAATTTAGAAAAATTATTCCTACTTTATTTCAAATGACTCTTAAAGGAACCCAAAGGAGGTCCAAAAGCCATTGTGTCAGAAAACAAGAGCTGTCGGTAGGACAGCAACGCTCGACTATTCTTAGTGCTTGATAGTAAAAAAAATGCTTGATACAGTTACCTCCTCCTGTTTACAGGTTGGGGTCATGATGGTGAACAAGTGTGCAAAGTTTCAAAGCCATATGTCAATGGACTTTGATAATATTTGAACTATTACAAAAACTTTAACCTAAATTCTAAGTCGAAAAAGGGGCATAATTCTGTCAAAATGCTTGATAGAGTTACCACCTCCTGTCTACAGGTTGGGGTCATGATGGTGAACAAGTGTGCAAAGTTTCAAAGCCATATGTCAATGGACTTTGAAAATATTTGAACTATTACAAAAACTTTAACGTAAATTCTAAGTCGAAAAAGGGGCATAATTCTGTCAAAATGCTTGATAGAGTTACCTCCTCCTGTCTACAGGTTGGGGTCATGATGGTGAACAAGTGTGCAAAGTTTCAAAGCCATATGTCAATGGACTTTGAAAATATTTGAACTATTACAAAAACTTTAACATAAGTGGTTACGCCGACGCTCGGGTGACTGCAATAGCTCTACTAATTCTTATCGAATAGTCGAGCTAAAAATGTAAGGTTTTTCCTGACAAAGTATCAGCTGTACCTACAGCCTACAGTAATAACTTTGATCAAACTAAATAGACTTAGCAGGCTTTCTTTGAGGTATACTAGAAGCATAAAAGCCATTATCAAAGTGACCAATGGCTTACATAATAAAATCTAATAAACTAGACAACAAACCTGTCCATTGATTTTATGATCAGATGACGATCCATGTATGATTCTGGTGAACACTGTCTCCTTCTCTGTTACTTGGTCAGCATACACTGCTGTCACTGAAGCCCTATTAGCTGCTGGTTTACCAACTGGAGCACCATGAATCAGATCCTGTAGAAATTAAATTGTATACTTACTAATTAAACATTTAATAAATATTTAATAAATTTAATAAATGGGAATGATTTCTTGTGTGAATAGGAAAATGCACCATGATGAAACAATATCAATAAAGTTAAAACATAAAGCTTACATGTATTTACTTGTATTAAGATATGGCTATATTGAATTTAAACTCAGGAAATACATGTATGCATTAATTTCTTACCGACTTTAACAATGCATTTATAACTCATTTGATTATAACAAACATACTGTATGACTTTTCAATTTTCATACAATGTAAAATTATATATACAATCATTCCTCATTAAATTACTTACACTTAGCCTTCTCACACGTAGATTAGATGTTTTCTCACCAAGTACAAAACTAATTGCATCCATAAGGTTGGACTTTCCTGCAAATTAAAAATAAAAGAAGTTAGTAAATATTAAATACAAACTTATTTGCTGCATCATGTGACTTCGTGTCTCAGGTGAGGTCTGAGAAACATGATTCCCTGTAACAATGCTCCTTCAACAAGACACAACATGTATCAATCTAGTTGGTTTTTTCATACAGTTTTGTGGCCAAAATAACGCTCCATTTAAAAAGCCAAAAATATTTTTTTTCACAATAATGAAAAATTACAATTGTTAAATTGTAGCCAATGACAACACTGTCAATACCATAAAAACATGAGAAATAGAGACATTAAACTATGAGACTTTATGTGATAAATTATACATTATAATTATTAAATTATAATTTAACTGTATAAAATAGTACTATTTTCACAAATTAACCTTTCCCCTCATAAAAGCGTGTAACGGTGTTTCGACGGCTTTTTGCCCCCCCTGTTTTTGAGGCCTCAAACAGTGAAAAAATGCCTTATTTAGGCCACAAACACTGGTTTTCGTTTGTGAAATGTTGTTAAAAAAAGTGACCACTTTTTTGGCGTCATCCCCCATCCAGATGTTACATGAGGGGGTTGCCAGAAGGGGGACATGCCCCCTTCTGTTTGGGGGGGGGTTTGAAGGGGGGCGGAGTCCCCCTCATCGCCAAGAAAATTTTGGACATGTGACAGGCTAAAAATGGCCTCAGGTTGATCTTAGGGTAACTAGTAACCGACGCTGAAAAGCCTTTTACTCTATCTCAATTCATTGAGAAGTTACAGCACTTTGAAATCAGTTTTGATGGAAAAAAACAATGCAAAATAGTGATTTTTGGCAATTTTGAGACGTCCCCCTGTTGCCATGGTAACAGGAAATTTACGATTGACGTGCTGTTAAAGAGGCTATGGTGTAGTCAACATTTGTGCCAAGTTTCATCAGTATTGAAGCATTTTTCATAGTTTCATAGCAGTTTGAACTTGTGACAGGAGGCTTTTCAATGAAAACGGCCATTTTAGCAATATGCTCATGGGGTAAAAGGTTAAGGAATTATCGTGTACAAACAAGTTCTCAAACCTCTAAGCATTTAAAGGTATTGTAGTATAAATAAGAATATATCTTTATGAAATTCTTTACATATGTACACTTTAATCTTTATGTAACATTTCTGTAAAATTTGACTGAAATTCAACAATTAAAAAAGCTCTTTTTCCATCTTGGAAAAGCACAACTCTCTTTTGTAAAACTGACATGGCCTCTTAAAAGAAAGAACCTAATCTCAAACCCCTTCAAGTATTTCTGAAATTCTACTGTTTAGTTTAGCCAATGAAGTGATTATCATATGAATATCACAGGACAATGAAATACCCTACAGGATGCAGGTACCTGCTTGAAGATATTTTTGTCTCTAATATTCATTTTTACAAATAGTTAATGGTGTATTTACAGGACTTACAAAAGTAATAGCAATTTGTATGAAATTATGCTAAGTAATAAGATATATTCAATGTAAATATTCCTTACTATGCACTGTTTTAATTTAACAGCAGCAGACATGCATGACATGTCTGTCAGAATCTAAGCTTTAATGCACAAAAGTTGAGAACATCATAGTCACTTCTAGTAAATAGATAACAGCTCATAAATGAAAGGTTTGAGAATAGGTTGGATGTGAGATCATATATGGCACAAAAACACAATTCTTTTTCACCCCCTCATCACATGGGATACAGCACAGGCGCTAGTCACATAATCAAATATTTTACATAATCGGTCTATATATGTATATAAAGATATAAGGCCCCCAACGAAACAAAAACATCATGCAGAACAAACAAGAACACTGCTGCAATAAACGACCAGATCACGGTTATCTCTTTCTGGTCGCCATCTGAAAGGATCAATCCAAGTGCCAATGCTTTTTATTTCATAAAAATCCCTCAAATAGCAAAGAAATTGGGAAAAGTTTCGCAAAATGCCATTATTTTCAATTCATGTCGTTTTCGACGTCCAGTCCATTCATGTATACAAACACGATTTCTGATCGATTTTTACGGAAAAAAACAAAAAACGGCTAGAATTTCCACGCACGTTCCATAAACAAACTCTTTTCCTATCGATCTGCGAAGTCTTCACTGATCAAATGCCCTCTTCGTACGTATTTCATCAGTGTTTCTGCCAGCTCTGATTTTCTGAGGGTCTTTTATGACCCCCTGTATGATATTTTAGGGGTCATTTCAAATTCATAAGGGTCATGCCAATAAATTTAACAAAAATGTAAAAAAAAAAACAACAGGTAACACTTTATAAGTTTTATTTACAATATTTTGTATATTTTTCGTGAAGAAATTGGTCAATCTCTGCTATTTTGGATTATTTGTCATCCAATAATAACGCTGTATTTCTTAAAAATTATGTGTGTTAATTTTCATAGAAGAAAATGTAGATACTATATTGAAATTCGTTCATAGTCGCCTTCTATTTTTCATAGTGCTTCATAGTACCGCCTAGTGACGTAATCAAGGGCCAAATAAAGCTTGACACTAAATATGTTAGTGTTCATCCTTAGCTGTTTTACAGAAATTAGAAACATTCTCCTGTCGCTATCGCTCCCTTCGAAGTTTCTTATTTTCTGTAGAACAGCACAGATGAACACTAACATATACGCAGACTGCATTTTCCAGCAGACAGTTATTCGTTCGCAGAATATGACGACAACAAAATAAATAATTTTGTCTGGGCGCTTTCAATATATGCAGTAACGTATAAATGCAAGCGTTTATTAACTAGTTGAAATTGGCTAATGCCGGACCACGGACCCGGTAAATTTCATTTCTCATTAAAATTATAGTGGAGCCCACGGTAAACATTCCGTACATTTTTATACTGAATTGACGGTTTATAGTCTGTATATCTTGTGTTGAAATCAGCGACGGTGAAATTCTTGCGTCACAAAATACGCACTAACTAAATTTCATTGCGTCATGGCTGAAAATAGTGCGCCAAAAACGCAAAAACGCGCTCTGGCAGAAACACTGATTTCATTAAAAAATACACAAGGATCTTGCTTGTGACAGTATTTTATCGCCATGTGTAGCGCATGTATATACTGTTCCGCTCTGAATATTATATAAGGATTTGATTGGTTAAGATAATTACCGGAATACTATTGACCAATCGTATAATACTATTTCTTTGCTTCATTTATCTGTCACTTCAAATTACAAATGGCGCACTTTACTTGACCTCCGCTTCTACAACCAATATTTTTAAATATTTGAGTTCAAAGAGGGCTCTAGTTCAATTTAGACTTCGCAGATTGATAGAAAAAGAGTTTGTTTATGAATTTTATGAGGAAATTTTAGATGTTTTCTATTTATTTCGTAGAAATCGACCAGAAATCGTGTTTGTATACAGTGTTAGCGATTTTCCCTAACTTTACTGAGTACCTGGGACTCAGTGCTAATAGATCTGTTACGTCCCAATTCAAATGGAACGAGTCCTCAATTACAAAAACGAAAAAGAACGATTTAAATAAAAATCCCATATTATAAATACTATTATAAATATGGGATTTTTACTTATATCGTTCTTATTTTTTTGTTTTGGAAAGAATTTCGGTATCTACAAAGACCGGTCAATAACGGTATGACGGAATTTAGCGCAGAACTGGCAATGGAACCGACGATGGGAGAAATGCAGTGATAAATTCATTCAATTGCCGTTATAGTTGGATAGTTGATAAGAGTAATCAGTGTTTCTGAAAGATTTTAATGTGCTTTATTGATTAAAAGTGCTCGGAAGTAAATCCCAGGCGTTTTTATAAATATTCCTTGTAAATGTAGCGGTGGGTGGGGAAATGTTGTTGCCTTCCTTGTGTTTTTTATAGTATATATATGGGATTTTTTTTTAAATCGTTATTTTTTTTGTTTTTGATATAATTTCAGGCTCCTGTGGTCCCAGGGACTCAACAGCCCTTTTTTTCTTTCCTCCCTGGCAATTTTAGCGAGTAAATTGATATGTTTACTCAGTAAACGCGAACACTGGTATACATGAATAGATTGGACGTCGAAAACGACGTGGATTGAAAATATTGGCATTTTCTGAAACTTTTACTCATTTCTTTGCTATTTGAAGAATTTTAATGAAATAAAAAGCTTTAACGCTTGGATTGATCCTTTCAGATGGCGACCAGAAAGAGATAACCGTGATCTGGTCGTTTCTTTCAGCATTGTTCTTGTTTGTTCCGCATGATGTTTTTGTTTCGTTGGGGGCCTTATATCTTTATATACATATATAGACCGATTATGTAAAATATTTGATTATGTGACTAGCGCCTGTGGGATACAGGGATACTATGTGAGATTAGGTACTTATAAAAAGCCAATGTACCCTTGACCTTCTGTACTCATGAAAGACCTGGAAAAACGGGGAAAACCCGTTTCTGTCAAAGTCCATGACAGTTATGGCCTCTTGCAAGCTGTGGGTGTGATGGTCTCAAACAAGTATACAAAGTTAATACCTCAAATGTAGAGTAATCATAGAGAAAATGCATATACCTGATCCATTAGGCCCAATGATTGCTGAAAACTTTTTGAAAGGTCCAATCTTTTGTTTACCGAGGTAGGACTTGAAGTTGTCCACCTCAATATACTTTAAATAACCAGGCATTATTTATTCTGAGGATGCAGTATGATTTGTTTCAATTCTTTACTACATATAGCACACTGCAATTTAATTGCAAATATGTATTTTGTTTATATTTGGCTAAAATTTGACATAATTTTAGCGCGAACTGTGTTGTTTGCTTTGATCTCGTTGATCGCGAGATTTGAAAAGGTCATGATAATGTCCAACTGTGAAAATGAATTTAGGAATGAGAACACTATATAAAAAATGTCTTTAATTTTAGGGTAAACACCACTAAATCAACAAAGTATTATTGAACAAAGACATTTTAGATAAGCAAATATAGCTTGATGATAAAATACTTTTTATCCCAGGTATGAGATAAGAAACATGTATTTAGGGTTAAATAGAAATGTTGAGCAGGATTAGAAAATAGTCATAAAAGAAAGTGCACACTTTAATTTATTCCCTAAGGTATACACTTAACAAATCTTGTAAGTGTGCATGTATAAATTGTCTCATATGTGAGTCAATTTTGACCCTATCATGCTCAAATTTAAAATAAATACAGTTGGAAGACATGATATTATATTCCATTCATAAAATTATATGCGGCAATGTAAAACTATCTGATTTAAAGCGCGGGAAGATATTATCCAGGGATAATTTATGAATGGGTGTAACCATATGGCCGTTCTAAGGATATTTCTAGAAACCGTGGCTAGCTATAGATTTTCAAATGAATTTCAACAGTTGATAATACCAGTTCGTAAATGAACCATTATCATGGATTAAAAAGTTCTGCGAAAGTTTGAAAATATGCTTCTTATGTGGGAGTCTCGATGAGAATGTCGGACTCCGATCACATATATAGATTCATCTTTTGGAAATCATTGTCTTAAACTTTTGTAAAACAGTTCCCTCTCCAACATGCACATTACCTTGCCTTTCTCGCCGAATTAGTTTGCATATAGGTTCAGGTTTGACCATGTATGCTTCTGAAATCATTTTCAGGAAACCTGTGAAAGATTATGTTTCTTATTCTAAGCGTTTCTATACTACAAACAAACGTTAAACTAGAATTTATCTAACCATTAAAATGACCCCAATCTGATCAAAAATTTAACGACTGATCATTTTTCAACGACTTTTTGATTAAGATATAATATTTAATTGTTGGCAGGGTCCATTCTCAACGTTGAAAAATGAGTGTCTTCTTAACAACCTTTTATCTTCCGCGCGGCTTTAGTGCAGTTTAAATATATATGCTGTCCTACTTGGGCCAGTTGATTGACACCTATTCATTGACACGGAATATTTCTTTCTCTAAAAATTTTGTGTTTCCCTATTGTATAATTGTAGATAAAGTAGCGAAAATTTACATGAAATATCCGTCGTCATTGGAGGTTGAATTTGTCGCATACTTAAAATTAAAATGTTTAAAAATTCGCGATGATTAATTTTAATTCTTGCATGTTTCTATCGAGAACTGCACAGCTTATTTACCATACCAGTGGCTATAGTGAAAGTTCTTCGGAAGAGAATGATAAATATCGCTACTTATCTATTAACAAGAGCCAGTGCGCTCGACTGTTCTCAGTTCTTGATAGTAATAAGTTCAAAAACGGTCATATTCTGTAAAAGTCTACATAAGATGTACGTGTCTTGGATAATGACCCATCATGCTTTCAAATTTAAACCATTCCCTTCAGCAGCCGATGGAGTCAATTTTGAACGGATTATTGATCAATTTTCAACGTTGAAAAATAACCCCTACCTGTTAAATTATGACCCACCACACGTTACCCCCGTTGAAAACAAATGAACTGACAGAAGACATGTTTTCGATAATAAGAGACATCAAATAAAAAATGTTTAATTGATTATAAAAATATTCTGTCGCGATTCGTTTACACAAACAAGATGGAAGGACTTACGCAAGAAGTAAATAAAATAAACAGGCCTGCATGTTGTAATCTTTTAAATAGTTTATTGCATGTACAATCGCACAATGGTACAAATAAAAGTACATTGTATTAACAGATTAGTTGTTCCTTATTTTTTATTATATCATGCTTATTTTTTCATGCTTTTATCAGGCACACTATAAACCACGTGAATTTAAAGTAAAACTTTATTTCTAAAAATACTTGAATCAGTAACACAATGTTTGACGAATTCTTTCCCCGAAATGAGTTCTGCTTGAGACGATCCTTGTGATCTTTAAAATGACTTAGAAATAAAAAGCAAAGCATCTATTTATCTGTTTATTTAGAAATTCTCTTTGGTCTTTTACCAACCACTTTGTCATTCAAGCATACATTTTATTTCAGACCTTATTTTAACAGATGAGCAAATATTATATATAATGAAAGATGGTGTCAATGTGAAATTAAGTACACGAGCCGGTATACATATTATATTGTTATTTCTATGATCATCTAACCCTACGTTATGAAACTGCTTTTGTTACATGAATGATAGAAAGACACGTCTAATAGAATCTTAAAGTTTCAACGAAGATAAATAGATGGGCACACTACACATATAAATCCGATTATATCAGTTATGAAAAGAACACGTCTAAGACCTCCAAACATAACAGAAAAATAGAAAATACTTTGTGACAGTCTGTGGAGAATTATAAAGCAAGAACACATACTAGTAACTGTTATTTTACAAAGTGTTGATGATGTAATATAATACCAGGACAATCACATGTATTGTTTAAACACACCTATAAAAACATAGGTGAATGTTAACAATTGTACAATTAAGATAATAAATGAAATGCAGGAAGCAAAAGGCGAAATAGTCGTCTGTAAGAGTTATGGCGCTATCATCTTGACAAATTCTGAAAAAGAGAGAAAATGTCATTTTAAATTTTCAGTTATGAAAATCAGTGTAGCATTATTTTTGTAGGAGATGTTTTAAAAAACGCCAACTTCACTGATATATATAAATCTTCAAATGAGAAAACAATAAGCTAACATTTATATCACATTGTTTTATTTTATGATATGTCATGAGGACATATCATATCACATAATATCATAATGCCATATCATCATATCATAATGTCATAATAGCATACCATATATCTATCATGATGTCATAATATGATATCATAATGTCATAATATCATATCATAATATCAAATCATATGTTGTCATAATGTCATTATATCTTATCATAATATCAAATCATCATAATGTCATAATATAATATCATAACATAATGTCATAATATCAAATCATATCCTATCATATCAGAATGTCATAATATCATATCATAATGTCATAATATAATATCATATCATATCATATCATATCCCATGATATAATATTATATTGTATTATATTGTTATAAGAATAACCGACATGATGTGTGAAAGTTGTGTAAAGAATACAAAGTATTATTACTTGAAATGCAAAATCATAATACTTAGAGACATTACATATTATACATGTATTCCTTTACAAACATACCACTATAGTTAATTTGTCCGTCTCCATTGAGATCTGCCGCTCTCATGAGATCATCAAGTTCGTCTTCTTTCACTTTTTCACCAAGTGTTCTTATAGCAACCCTTAATTCGTCTTTTGAGATGGAACCATTGCCATCTTTGTCAAACACTCGGAATGCTTCCAGTATCTCCTCTTCGACATCTACACTCTGAAGTTTCCGTGCAATTAGCTTAACAAACTCGTCGAAATCAACCTCACCATCATCTGAAAAAATAAACCAGAAACAGTAACATTCATGTCGAAGCTAAACATGAAGAGAATTACTTATTGTATTATTTTGTAAATGGTTAATAGTTCATAGTTGACTTACTTATATTTTTTCTGATATTTAATTACAATGTAGATATTTTAGAAACATTGTAGTTTTGGCCCTTTTGGGTGTATGTTACATGATTAAATGGATAAAATTGTATACTGACTGTTAATGCAGTGATTAAATTATGATTAGAACAGTGTTTTAAGTAAGAACACCGATTTTGGTTCTTTAATTTGCCTATTTTTGATATGTAAGTTCGCTACAAAATGTTTGTGGTCATTTCATACAATGATGATCTTTCATAATTGATTTATAAATAAACACCAATATACTTTGTTTATGAAGATAATTCAGTCTTTTGAAAAGAAAGACATGAAATAGGCACCAGATTGGCATAGTATCCTTACATATTTCTTTTACAAAATATATTTTTAATGTGAGAATGTAAATTATTTATTACTGTCACTGTCGACCATTTTCACCATGTGATTGAGTTCCTGCTCTGTGGGATTTTGGCCCAATCCCCTCATAACATCTGCTAATTCCTTAGTGGTAATGGTCCCTCCTCCATCTTGATCAAATACTTTAAATATCTCACGGAATTCTACGAAAATACACGGAACAAATAATTAGAATAGCATTCATGTCATATACCAAATGATTTTTTTGTTGAAGTTTACGTCGCATCAACACAGTATAGGTCATGTGACGTCTTACCAGCTTTACTGGTAGAGGAAGACCTCAGGTGCCTTTCCGTACATTACCAGATAAAACTTTAAAGTGCAATCATTCTATGGTTGATACATTCATGAAATCCACAGACAGATATGTTCTCCATTGTATAATGTATACATGAATATAATATGATTAATAATCTAATGGACTCACACACTGGACAATCAATTCATTCGTTAATTTCATTAATGAGCACATGTCAAGCAATTATGTCCGGTAGACCTAGTTTGTTCAATATAAATAATAATACACAGTGGTTTATTTTGGCCAGGAAATCCACATGTGACCAGCTTAAATTACCCTGATATAGATTTTGTAGAGGGTGGATATCCTATAATTACGTCAACGTGCGGCCAATGATACTATCTTTTGATAACATATTAAAGTACTTTTTCTAAATGACGCATTTATTTAAATATGAATATATTCATTTTGATAAGCTATTTGCATACAGGCATGTTTGCATAGAACGAATAAGTTACACGTTTCTGTTAACATTGTCAGGACTTGGTAGAGATGCACACTGTCTTTATAAATTGATATATTTAAGTCATTACTTTATTTGAGGAATACATAACATTTTAAATAACATGATTTTAGTTTACAAATGTATGCATCTTAAGGTGTCTCAGCAGTTGACAATGTAAATTGTTCTAGATGTTCTAGACTTTCGAGCCGAATATCAATTGTTCACTGTTCTTTGAAACATGAAAATATTAAAAATGAGTATTCAGCAAAATATCGTCTTGTCAAAACACACCAGCATGCTAACTGGCCTTTTTTTTTAAAACAACCATTCACAAGAATAACATAGATCAAACATAATTATGAATAGTTAAAGTCACTTACCATCCGCGATCTTTTGTAAAGAAGAAGAGCTCATTCTGTTTTGTTTTTTCTTTCTTTGCGAATTTTTTTTCTAAGATGTTGCCGAATTAAAGATGAATTAATTACTCCGCTTCATTTGATCAAATAAACATATGTTCACTTTTTACAATAAAGTTAACTCCATTTACCAAGAGTAAACATGAATTAAATCCAAATTTAGGTACACTATAACATATACAGTCGAGTATGTTTTGTTAAAATATTGGGTAACTTTAATACACTAGAGGTTAGGTACGTAGTATATTGTAAAGAAGAAATGACAAGGTTATATTTCATTTCATTTATGTTAGATCAATCTATTTTGATAATTGCTTACCATTCTCATGTTTAAGATCGAATATAGCACATCAAGGCGGCCCGCGGATAAATCATGCACAATACACAGCTGATCAAATATATATTATTGTAATACAATATGTGACAGGCTACTGTATGACATCGTGATATCAAATTAAGAAATTTTCTAAAAAAAATTGATACATTTGATAAGAGGAAGAAATGACGTAAATCTTTGAACAAATTGACAATACCGTCTTTAATATGGCGTGATATCATATGAATGACGGCATCCAGTATAGTTTTAATATTGCAGTGCTATATTTAGGTGATTCCACATCGTCAGCAATGTTTTATTTTCGCTAAGGGGGGCAAAAGTGAAAGTAAGCCAATTTAAAACACAAATAACTTGCAAAATCTTAATCTCAAATAAATATACATCAAAGCACATGACCTCCGCAAGTGATTATGAACTACTTCGTTAACAAATTTTAAGTATTCTAAAAATTAAGTGAGTCTGTCTGCCATGTATACAGTGTACACTAAGAGCCCTCTAAGTGAAAATCAGGTTTGGTTGACAGTGTGGAATCAACCAAATTTAAACTATCAATATAAAAATATACATACATGTATATAAACACAATGTATTTAATACAAAAATGTAGTATTTCATCTAATCTATTGTGGTTTCATAAAAAGATAAACGTAGGACATTGACTGATATAGATTTTTTTTAAAAAAATTACGTACATATATATATTTTAAAAACATTTTTTTTGGGGGGGGGGGTAGTCACTTACTCTTATTAACGAGTCGATGATACCGCTAATAAAGACATTTAATTGTAACCATCAGATAATGTGTAAGTATTGTAAGACTGTTGTGTTATTCAAGTATTTTTTTTATCTTGTTGGTTTAATGGAGGGAACTTGTAATCTTACAATAACACCGAAATTCATGGTAGTTTACCATTTACTTATCTATAAAAATTGTAATATTTTGTAAAGATATGTACCATACCGTATGTATGTATAATGTAGCGAGTTTTCGCTTGGGGTTAAAAGAATTTGATAGATCCCTACTAACTACAGGGATAAACCACGGCCAATCTTGCCAAAATTTACAAACTATAGAGATAGAGACACCATCCGTAAAGCAGGTGTAAATTTGAACATCTAGAAATGACCCGCGTCATGATAAAACCAACATAATGGGTTTGCGACCAGCATGGATCCAGACCAGCCCGCGCATCCGCGCAGTCTGATCAGGATCCATGCTGTTCGCTTACAAACCCTATTACAAGTAGAGAAACTGATAGCGAACAGCATGGATCCTGATCAGACTGCGCGGATGCGCAGGCTGGTCTGGATCCATGCTGGTCGCAAACCCATTATGTTGGTTTTATCATGACGCGGCTCAAATCTGGCAAGTATGTATACCCACCTGAGATGGAATTTAAGAGCTGCGCCGGTAATTGTTCCAGACACCGAAAATCGAAAAATGATCCATAAAATACACAGAAAGACACCATTTTACATGACAAATTGTACGTTAATTAACAGTAAAATTTGAATGCCGATAGCTTTGAACCGTGCCCATATATAAAACGAAACCGAAATTTGCTTATGACGAATATCGCCAGCCAATATAAAGTCGAAGTCGAACAGAACAACAAATTTATTAAGATCCCGAAGGTTTTACCGACTGTGCGGACGGGCCTCATATCGAACATTCCCAGCTATACGGCAGTAAATTTGATTGACGAGTTGCCCGAGGAGCACGAACAGCACGGGAATGTTACTGTAAACAGACATGTAACTGACAATATTAGAGCTAGGGAGAGTCTTCTGTTTGTTTACCTGTAATGAAATGAAAATGTTTGTCATTTTCATATGAAATTACTTTTTTATTATTGAACGTATAAGGTCTTTCGTCTCTGAATATACTAGTTTTATAGAAACCACGATATACATTTAATTATTTGCTAATGCATCCGTTGAATTGATATTCCCGCCGTATACGTGTTATACAATTGACCTTACTTGTATTATGTTCCTTCGGATATGTAAGATTAATCATACCCACATCAATGTACTTGTAAGGTATATGTCTATTTTGATTTGAAACCTAAAGAGCGGTACACAATTTGGATCTTGAATTTTGCTCTTGTGGGTTACAAAGGACCATATCACAGTACATAAATGTACTTTGATATAAGTTATTGTCAATCAAATTTTATTTAAAAAACAACAACAAACAAAATCAACAACAACAACAACAACACACACACGCACGTACGCAACAACATCAACAAACAAATTCATGTCAATATGTATTAAATCTAGTTCAACCGTTAACTGTAGCGCCGATATATGTCCAAACGTCGAAAAATGTCCAAACGACGATAAATGTCCAAAAATTAACGAAAAATGTCGCAACAAATTAGGTGCTCATAAATGTCCAAATCGGTTAACGATAAATGTCTCAACTTTTCATATGTTAATTGCACTTATTTCTATGATCTTTTCTATGATCAACACCCGCCTATATGACTGAAATACTGTTGGGAAAAGGCGTAAAATGAAACAAACAAACAAACAAACAAACTATGATCAACAGTAATGCATCAGCCAGTTATAAAGGTTTCCATAGGGATTAAAAGTACCGATTTAAGTAGCGTTCTCACAAGCATCCCGGCAAATCCCAGGACCACCCCAGACGATCCGGGATGAAAATATTGTTGCAGTCTCAATAACCCCGGTAAAACTATGGCGATACCCAATTTCCATACTTATAACAACCAGGATGAACTCTGGGCCATCCATGCAGAGTCCAGTTGAAACTACGGATAATGCAGATAGTAAGTGGACGACGGATGACCTAACACGATATTCAAACGCTGTTAAGTCTTCGATCAAAGAGATCATAAAAGCTGAGATCCATGCTAGCACATTCCCGGATGATGTCGGCAGAGTCCCGGATGATCCCGGCAGAGCCCCGGTACGGTCAGATAGAGTGCCGACAATCACCGGTAGAGCCCCGGCAGAGCCCTTGATCATCCCGGACGTTGCCGACAGAGTTACGGACGTACCCCGGTCGTTCCTGGATCACCCGACCGACCACCGGGACTCTAGCGGGATGCTTGTGAGATTGTTAAAAAAGTTTAAAAAATGTATTTGAAAATAAGTTGATTGTTGGATACAGTCTATCTCCCTTACTATTAAAAGGGAAAAAAATAAGTTAAACCGAGGTGCATTGTACTGGTGCTTTACACCGGGCACTTAAAAGAACCAGGGTCGCCTCTGGAACGGGGCGTCTTCTGTATCATGCACTATCCCCCGAAAAATAATATACTAACAATCTTCAGGGGACGTTGGTCATATGGGCAACCGGAACCAACGATAAAAAAGTCAAATAAAATAAGTTATTATGCCCCTCTTCGAAGAAGTGGGGGTATATTGCTTTGCCCATGTCGGTCGGTCGGTCGGTCCGTCGGTCCGTAGACCATGCCATTTCCGCTCAATAACTAGACAATGCTTTGGCTGATGGTTCTATTATTTGGTGTGGAGGTTGGTCATGACTAGTAGATGACCCCTATTGATTTTGGAGTCAGCAGGTCAAAGGTAAAGGTCACAGTGACCTCACCATGAAAAGCTTGTTTTTAGAAGATATTTTGTGTGAAACATTGGCTCATTGACAACTACAGGGTTTACTAAATTCATGGACCCATGGGTCATATTGGTTCTGCCCCATGGCAATGATATACATGTATTCCATAACAAATTACTATGCATTTTTTATACACATTTAAAAATCTAATGTTATAATATTAATTTGGCTGTGTTTAAGGGGGCATACATGTTTTACAAACATATCTTGTTAACATCTGCATTGCGCTACTCTACACTTATAGCTATATTCAGTGTCGTCACTCGAACTCAACCTCCACTCAAACTCGGGAAAGGTTTCCTTATGGACGAATTGAGGACGCCTTGGTCAAGGTGAACTCAAGTGTAGAATTGGTTTTCATATTTGAAAGTCTTCCTCGACTTACCCGAGGAAGGTTTGAGTAGCAAATCACCCGTAAAATCACTGTTATAGGTGATCTGTTCAATAAAATATACAATAATTACATAATTCATTATGTATATCAATTGGATTTCAAGATAAGTATTGATTTGAAAGTATCATAAATATGAGTTTGGTACAGACATCATTTGTACATGTACTTTTGAAAATGATTTGTAGAATAAAACGTTGACTAATGAGCAAGTGGTCTGTGTACAATAATAATTCATCTATATTTAAATTATATTCTTGCTTCTACCATCAAATTGCTGAAGTCTATCGACAGAACTAATATATTGTACGTTTTTTGAGAATGTATTAATCAGGTTTTGAGTTATTTTCGCGACTAAAGCGCAGTTTGATTAATAGTGAACACTAATATAACTTGAAAATGTGAAACATTTTGGACAGAAAAAGAGGTATGCTTATTTCTACCATATTCATTTATTCAGTTGATGCACATAAACTAATAATTTTCTTAACAGTTGATGAATTTGTCTTTACGTACAAAAATGGTTGTTACTATTAGATTGGTACTTGAATATTCATATAATTGTGTCTTGAAATCTCATCTGATGATGCTGAACGTCAACGACACTTGGATGCACAGGGGTACATATTATATCGATAATATATCACATACGTTACACACAAACACCTATTATTCATTGACAAATTGTGATTATTTCAAAATAACGTTTGTCGAATGGAGAAGAAATTTTAAAGGTTTTTGTCAACAGATTAAAATAAATATTACACAGCATTCGAATAGTAACATTAAAATTGCTATATGATGGTGTCATTTAAACATTTATATTATTATACCTCAATATATCCTTCAATGTAAAACTCCCATAGGCCTACAATGTGTTCTGATCGAATAT